CTATCTATACTATACTATATAGTATATATATATATATATATATATATATATATATATGTATCAAATGATATAAAATGAAATTTCGCTTTGCTTTTTTCAATCAACAAACAACAAGAAGAAAAGCGAAGGCGATTTTGTAGTTGGTGAAAGTCAGATAATCAAACTGAAATGTGACTATTGAAAATGTAAAATTTTGAACAAAAAGTTGAATGAACAGCAGAGGGCAATCTAGCTCTGTCAAGGTTCAACGAGCAATCGTGTGAGCTAAAAGGAAGGGCAAAACTAATTTTGGCGGCCCAAAAGAAATGATTTTGAGTGAAATAAAAAGAGAAGGAGAAACGAGTGAAAGTTAAAGAGAAATGAAGAGAGACAGAGAGAGATGAGAACAAAAAAAAAATGAAAAAAACATGAAACTGCTAAACTGACCAGCAGTTCGTAACGGGAGGCTAGGAAGAACTCACAAATAGAGAGACAGATAGGCAAACGAGTGATGAAAGAGAGAGAGTGTGAGTGAGATGCAAGCCAAAAACGAATAGGATGAGCTTGTTGAAGAGTAAACGAAGATAGTTTGAGATATAGTTGGAGACGCAGAATTTTTTGAAATAATTTAGAAAAAAATATGAAAAAAGCTTAAAGCATACAAAGAAAGCGAAAACGAGAAACAGAATGTGAGTCTGTGTATGTGTGTGTGTAAGATAAGAGAATGGAGGATGAGAATGGAGAGGAGGGAGGGAAGGAGGGAGTAAGGACGACTAGAAGAGAAGTCTTCACGAAGTAAGGGGAGTGGATGTAGAAGAGGAGAAGTTCAAAAAGAATTTGGGACAGCTTGGTTGGTATATTTCACGAGATTTCTGCGATCTTTTCTTGCTGTTGGGTAAGGTTTTTTTTCTTTTTTTTTCTGTTCTGTTTTCATGTCTAATATCTCAGAATATTCAGTATTCAGTTGAACATATTTTGGTTAGAAAGTTGTGCTCTCTCTCTTTATCCTTATGCAGTTAGTGAGTTTCCCTCGTAAATTCGCTCGTTGTCTCTTGCATTGTCTTTTCTCCTATTCCTCCTACACTCTTCTTATACTCTCTTCTCTCATCTACCTTCTGTTTTATTCTTTTATTCCGCTTGAAAAGTCGTTGTGAGCGACAAGTGAAAAAAGAAGACGACGTCGAAACGAAGACGTTGACGTCGCTTCAAGACGAAGACACAGAAGACGAGAGATACATACACACACACACACCACATCTAAGCTAGCTCCAGAATGCATTCATGTAGGATTGACTCAATAAAGAGTTAGTGTGTGCTAGCCGAATGGCCACATCGCCTCATGATCTTCTTCCGTGCTTTATACGCTTTCCTGTCCCTTCAGTCTCCCACTCACATTTCCCTCTTCCTTTCTTTCGTCGTCTTCAGCTTCTTCAATATTCTTCTTTCTTTTTTTTCTCGTCTACTCTCTTCTAACTTCTGTTAAACTTTGGTCAGAGAATGCAACATGAGTGAACTTTCAAGTTCTCAGTTCAGGATCGAAGTGCTTTCTGACCAGAGGTGGGGAGGGGGAAGTCCTGCCCGGAACACCCGATTAACATATTTTAAAATCTATTTCAGCTTATCATTCTCTGATCACTCAGAATCTGATAACAGAGCAGAAAACAGAAAAGAAGGAAGTTTCAAGAACTATTACAGTGTTCTTCACAAATTATCCAAATGAAATCTCACAAAAGCTGTTAATCATTCAGTCACTGCTTCATGTACAGCAAAAACAAAATAAAAAATTAAAGAGAAAAGCCATAAAGGAGATCATATTCAAAGCTTTCAAGAGAACCGATTCCTGTTCACCATATTTGGTACGGAAAAGTACACCTCCTTTCCTCCATCCTACTCCCTTCTCTTTATATCTCTTTCTTCCTCTCTCTCTCTCTACCTCTCTCTCTCTCTCTTTCAAGCTTCGCAGAACGAATGTCCATAACGAGGGATTGACGTAACACATTATTTTTAAAGATTTCTGCTCTTTCACTCTCTCCATTTCTTCTCCCCCTTCTGACAGCACGATGTTTGAATGCTTACATTCAGGTATAACTATAGATAGAAGCTGAGATTTTTCAAACTACTTATTAAATAAACAAAAAGATTTAATTCGTTTCAATGCGAATCTGAGCAAAGTGTTCTTCAGTACAGTAAGATAGCAGCTTTTGCTATTTAATATTAATAAGAACATTTTTAGAAATAAGACGAGCGAGAGAGAGAGGAAGGGACAAAATATAAAAAGCTCTAAAGGAAGAAAGAGTCGTACGGATAGGTAACAAGACACAGTCAGATGAGATTGCCTTGCTATGAGAGAAATAGAAAGAGAATGAAGAAGGGAAGGGTGAAGTAGAGAATCTCCAGTAACACATGCTTATGAGAGTTACAAGAGATGCAGAAAGGGTGATGTATTGAACACTTTGCTTCAAAAATTTTATTTATTATTCAAAAGATTGTGGCAGACTTTTTTTGCTCTCGTAATTTATTATTATTCTCGCTATCGCTGTCTCTCTCTCTCTCTCTCTGCTTTCCTATTCTACTTCCCTCTGTACATCTCTCTCTTTCAATTTCTCTTTACACCTCTATCTACAATTCTCTCGATTCCAACTTGACAATGAACGAAACCAAAAATTGGCAAATGGAGAGCTCAGCTTGTAGAGATGAAATGAACAAAACGAAGAAAAAGAATTTGAAGAAGACGAAGAAGGTTTCTTCTTCCTTTTTTTTCTCCTTTTTTTTCTCATTTATCTCAAAATTGTTCAAGTTCATATGCTATTAGTCAACTTCGTTTATGTCCTGAGGCAAGATTGTAATATAAGATAGAATCTTAATGAGACCAAAAATGAGCAGAAGGAGACGAAGAAGAGGAGAAGCAGAAGAAGATGCTGTAGTTAAAGATGAACAAGAAGTAAGAAGTAAGTAGATGAGTGAGAGTACTGAGAATGAATCCATGGAGAAAGCAAATGCAAGAAGGATATCACACAGAAACTAAAAAGTATCAAAGAAGTTGGAATATTGTCTTCGTTATAGCTCACATGAAAAGAAAATCATTGTTCTATGTAAGAAAATGAGAGAGATAGACAGACATAGAAAGAGAGAGAGAAAGAGAGAGAGAGAGATTGAATGTGAGTGTGTAAAGAGAGAGAGACAGCAGAATGAGAGGACAACAGTTGACATTCGAGATAATGTCCGAATATGGATAGTCCAAAATCAAAAAAAGGAAAACTCAAATGGCACACACATATACACACAGCTTGCACAAACATCTAATAGTTCCTTTGATGTCAGTGAAACGTAAAAGCGGAAGATATAGCCCGAAACTCATCTGAGTATAGCTTTAACTCACAGGCAATTAACGTCGGAATGAAATGTCAAAAAGACAAATCAGCTGAGACATTCGTTTAGTCAAAAATTCCTTTTTTTCTTTTCTTTTTTTATTTTTAGCTGATGTGCTGCTCTATTGGTCCGGGAGTATAGTGTATTCGTATGTATGGATGTGGGGTGTGTGTGTGTGTGGACCTATGTGTGGACGTGTGTGTGTGTGTAGTGTGGATGTGTGCGTGTGTTCATTTGGCTATACTTGAGTTGTAGCTTCAAGACATTACTCGTTAAGGGAAGCTTAGCCCAAGGGTAAGAAAGTTAGTAAACTTGTTCGCTTACGACCACCCTTTTATGTACTCTCGCTCTTCCTCACTCGTATCCGGCTCTTCGCTATACTTTCATTCCTAATAAATGCAAATATTCTATTCGAAATTACATTTAGAAATTAGACTTTTCAATATGAAATGAACGAATGAATCAAGGAGCTATAGATGATGCTTGATGCTACTACTACTACTACGCACTATCTGCTGATGCTGCTGCTCAGCCCTTTTCAGAGTTGAAATGGAAAAAAAAAGTTGTGAAAGAAGAGATGGGTGTTCATCTCAAAATCTGCGTGTGATTTTCAATTTTTTTTGATTTCTCTTCTATCTATGTGTCTGTGTGTGTTAGTCTTCTTACTTTCTATTTCGTTCCTCTGCTTCTTCTTCTTCTTCATTTCCTCTTCAAATTGTTTTGGGGGCATGAAGACATTTGAACAAAAAAAGAAAAAAAGAAGAAGAAGAAGAAAGAGAAACGAAAGTATATTTGTATGACACGGAAATTATTTTTAAATATTTTAAAAACACAACCGCTCTGCGCAAATGAATAAAAAACAGAATGAAATGAGCTTTTCTGAACGCGCAGCGAGCGCGCTCACTCAATCAAGTTAACGTGCACTTTTGTGAGTCAAGTGAAAAACCCACGCGTTTTCATATGCTAATTCGTGTGGCATTAAACTAAAACGTACTTTTTGGCAAAGTCTTGAAGTCAAGACAGCGTTCAACTGGTCGTTGTTCGAGAACAGCTCTGGGATGCTTGGTTCGAATGGATATTCGATAGATTGTTGATGGCGTCAGACCTTGGAGTTGAACCTGAAATTAAATTATTTCATCAAATGTCGATTGATAGTTAACAGCTTTCCAAAATTAAACAGAGGAAGAGAGAGAGAGAGAAAGAGGAAGGGAATGAAAAGCAAAGTTGGGTAAGTAGAGAGAGAGAAAGGGGAGTGACGGTGGCGATGCAGACAGATATTGTAACACGACAAGCTTCATATTTGGATATGTTTTAATCTCGACCAGCTTCAATACCAGGAGATGAAACAAAAATGGATTTTTGGCTTGTTGTTCGGAACAACAAGCTGTTGATTCTTCCACTAAACTGCTTCCAGGAATAGAAATGGAGAAAGAAGCTATGCAAGTAGTTAAGATGTAGTTTAAAAAAAGTAGAGAAAAGAGGAGAAGATGCAGACGAAGAAGATCATCATACTCATTCCTCAACTTCATCGTCGTCGTACTTCACTTTCCATCATTATCTTCATGTTCAGAGCAAATGATGCAAGAGAAGCATATCATCCAGATACATGGATAGGCAGAGACAGACAAACTGCCTCATGTATGTTAAACAACAAAATCATTTTGAAAGTTATTTGTAAGTATGAACATAATGAGAATAACAGTTGAAGCTTAAAACTCATTCAGGTATGAGATACCGTCAATCAAATCGATGAAGCTCATTCAGGGACATGTAATTAGAGAGAGAGAGAGAGATGGCGCACAGAAAATTAGGAGAATAAAAAGTTAAAAGGAGGGAAAGCTGGAAAAAACACTCAGCTCTCGGTTGCTGTTCGCTTTTTTTATTTGTTGAACCGACTAATTGCTAACCCGGCTTCTCCTTTTGCACAAAATTTTTTTAACGAAAAAAAAAAACGGTGTTGTCGTGGGCGGAAGCAGAAGAATCAGAAGCATAAACCATATATGTACACATATACATATATATATCAATTCAAATATATCTATGGATTCTTCATGAAGCTATATATGTGATCATATAATCGTTATAATTAAGGTTCGAAAGCTATCCTCTCTCTTTTGGCTCAACAAAATGACAGGCCAGTAACTTCTTCTATATCAGCTTCAAAGACATTTAGCAAGCTTAACGACAATTTTTGACGGATGAACAAATGGATAACAAGCTGGATTGGCACAATTAGAGTCACGAGTTCGATGTAGAAGATAGGTTTAAGACTAATTAGCTGCGGTGTCGCTTTACGGAGAGAAAAAGAGAGGAACAGACAGTGAGATGGAGTGGAAGAGTGTTAGTGATGAGATGGAAAAGTGAAGAAAGATAGAGAGAGCGAGAAAAAAGGAGCAAAAAGGAAAGCGAGGGAGGAGAAAAAGAAAATGCTGGGAAGCCATACGATGGGTGTCAAGAGGCTACAACTTGTCATTGCTCAAATAAAGTTCGAAAAAGGAAGACAGCAGACTACTTATGACCACCAAATAATCACGATACTTCCTTATTTGATGTTGAAGAATAATTCTCTATTAAAACAACAAATAATTACAATAATGGATGCTAACATGTTGTTTAAAAACAGAACGAAAGGCGAAGGAAAACGACAACAAACAAAGCAGACGTCGCTGTTGGTAGAAGTCACAGGTTACGAAGCTACAATTGAGACCTCCATCTCTTGCTATGTATGAAAGATGATTGAACACAATCCAACAAGAAAAAGTTTCTCTTTTTTTTTTTTTTTTGCTTTTTTCTTGAAACAAAAAAAAAGAAATGAAAGAGAAGCTGCTCTGCTGCGCCAGATCGAGCTTTAGTTAAGCAGGGTGAAAGAGAAGCTTAAAAACGCTAAACTAAACTTGACCAAGCTCCAAGTAATGTCGATGACAGACAAGTAGATATGAAAGACAATTTTTGGATGAAAATGAAATGTAAAAAAAAAGAAAAAAAAGAAAAAGCTGAAGAAGTAGCAGCGAGATGACAACGAAAAAGGAAGAGAGAGAGAGAGGGGGGGGGGAGAATATGAAGAGGGAAGGGGGATTGAAGCTCTAAATGCGATCGTACATGCTGTATGTGATTTTTCATCCAAACGAAACATCTGACTTCGTTAAAAATTATTCCACGAGAATAAGCCATCATCATGAGATTTATAAATTATAAAAGTCTTCTTTCAAATGAATTCTGACACAAGCACTACCAGTTTTCGTTTATCTTTTTGTTCCTCAAAAAAAAAACTCTTCGCTCTGCCACCTAATCGTTCAAAGTGAAGTGCACTAAAGCAGAGGGAAGAACAGAGAGAGAGAGAGGGTGATAGAAGGGGAGAGGAAGGAGAGAGAGAGGGAGAGAGAGGGAGTAGCCTATAACATTATCTTAATAAGTCTTTATCTGAATGATCGAATCTCAGACATGAGCTAACATTTGAACTGAATCTTTGCTGTAATCTGAATTTTGTTCTTCGCCAGAAATTTAGCTTCCTTGTTCTTTTTGAATTTTTTTTGCTGAATAAATTCTTACATATAAGCTGGAGGTTAAAATATCTTCTGTCTGTCTTCCAAATTTAGAATTATGAAGAATATTGCGAGACAGAGAGAAAGAGATGGACACGAAGTGAATCAAGGGGAGAATGAGGAAGAGAGTGAAGGAAGAGGAACTAACTTTAGGTAGGAGCAAAACGAAAGGGTGAGGAAGGACCGGCAAAGAAAAAAAAAGGAAGAAAAACAAAAAAAAAGTTTTTTTGTTTTGTTTTTGTCGACATCGACACGTTGTATCTCTTAGAGTGCTAAGGAACATCATGTGTGAGTAGAAAGTGTGAAAGATAATCTGATGAGTAGCTCATCTATTGTATATTTCATTTTCATACAATTTTTATTTCAAACAGATGGGGAGTATGAATATCTTAGTTCATATACTCATTCGGATGTAGTCTTTCAATAGATTTCCTCCTTTTTTTTTCATTCTTATACATATTGTACTTTCATTTGGAAGAAGGGTGGGTGGGATGAAGCCTTCTTCCATGTTAATGAGTTCAAAAAGAATTTGTCGTCGTCGTCGTCGTCGTCGACGTCGTCTCAACGCACAATTTTCTGATTATCAAAAATAAAAGAAAAATTAATGACAGCAAATGAATGAAATGATCATGGAGAACAGAAGGAAGAAGAGAAGAAGCATTGAAATGGAGATCGAACGAGGTTAAACTTAGAACAGAAATAGAAGAACGACTGCATGAATGAAACTAATGATGAGGTACTTAAATTCATTCAAATATGATTAAAACACACAGAAAACTATTTGAGTTGTCTGATCTGAATCATTTGAACACCAGGAGAAAGAGAGAAGACATGGATGAAGAAGCTTAATAGGCTTACAGCTTGTAAGCAACCGTTACCGATATCAAACTCAGAAAGCTGTAAAAGGATCTTGAGGAAATGAAGTCGAAGTGGATGGGTAGTGATTGGCCGAGGAAAAGAGTTATAAATATAGATATACAAATATATATATACATCTGTATATATATATATATATATATATATATAGACAAACGACCTAAAAAAGGAAAAATACGAGCAAACTGAACGAACTACATCAAGGGGCTATGGGAAAAGTAGAGGGTGGCTGAAGATAGTCTAAAGCTGCTTTCCGTTAATTAGTGGGAGTGTGTGTGAAAGAGGAGAGCTAACAAAGAAGAAAACCGCTTCGTCTATATCTTCTATAGAATAACAAAGAGGATAAATAACCAAAAAAAAAAGAAAAAAAAAGAAGAAGAAGAAGTAAGATAGAACAGTAGCATGGAGTAGAGGAAGGAGCAACGAGCTGGAGCGATAGAGAGAAAGAGAGAGAGCGTGAGGGTGAGGTAGAGATACCGAAAGAATCTTAATTTCCATAAAATCTCATCTATTCATGGAAAAGTTTGTGAGCACTTAGCAGAAGACGACGAAAACTTCAAAATCACAACAGAGAATGAAAAAGAAGAAGTAGAAGAAGAAGAAGAAGAAGAATCAAAATTCGTGAAAGCAAAGAGCACAACCGTGCTGGTCGGTTACAGATGTTTAAAAATGAAAAATAAACGTCACGAACGTCATTTGAGAAGTATAAGACCATACCGTGCGATTATGCTAATTTTGTGCAAGTAGAAGACTCATATGAAAATATTCTGAATATTCTGAATATGGACATATGGTGAACTTATGAAAACGTGATAGTCAGTCTAAGACGGATGGAGACATGTAACAGCAGAGAAGCTAACACGCACTGCATATCCATATCTCCATTTAAGCTTTACCAGTCATAATCAAATCTGTACGTTTCCATTTTGGATTGTTCCGATTGAAAGCTTGGAAACACATAAGATATGATGAGGTTCATGCTTAACTCAATGTATTATTCGTCCGAGAACTCAGATATTTCCACACATAACTTAGAGAGAGAAAGAGAGAGAGAGAAGGGGGGGGGGGAAGAAATGGATATAGAGAGGGGGAAGCAGTTATTTGATTGTTGGCTTCTGGACATGAATCTTGTTATTTTACAAGCTATTCTACCTTGTTCAATTCGAGAACAGAGCCCATTTAAGAGCCTGATTACTTCAGAAATAATCAAATTGCACAATTCAAAAGTCAAATATGATATGACGCTCTTGGTAGCTGAGGAGTTAAAGCTTTGAAAAATGACTGAATGATATGCATATAACTGATGACATCAGAAGATATCTTCAATCGTAGTCACCAGGAAACATTGCAGAAGCTAAATCATTGCAAGATGTTCAGAAAATTTGCATATTAAAGTATTAATGATCCTAATTAGGATTGAAGAAAAAACCAACGAACGTTGAACGAGAGGAAGAGGAAACAGAGAGACAGAAAAAGACAGTAAGAGAGAGAGGAAGAGAGAGAGAGAGAGAGGGAGCTTAAACATTCAGCTTCAGGAACATATGAATTGCAAAATACAATGTTTCCATTGAATGCAACAGTCGTTTCGAAGCTTTCGTAACCATCCAAACGAGAGCTCATATATGAACCGAAGTAAATGATGGAACACTCGTCAGAAAGGAAATAGTAGAATGGTTGAAGACATTCATCTTCACAGTCTTCCAAAAAAAAATTTTTTTTTTGATCTTCTTGGAAAGGATTAAAGAGGATACAATTACTTGAAACGTCATCAAAGCTTGATGAAAGAGGAAGACAAGGAATACATAAAAAATGAAGAACAATGAAGAAGGACACAAAAAAATTTGAAAAAGCTGATGATGATGATGATACTTGCCTGATAGACGGATGGTGGGCACACTCCAACTTTTACAGCATTTAATGAAACTACGTGTTCAGCGTTGCTATTGGATGGTAACCATCGAACACAAGCTGAGACAGGAGTAACTTGCCAAACTCGTAGGTGTTGAGGAGCAACAGGAGCTTCTAAAAATATATAATTATATGGGAAAAAAAGAATATATATAGATGTCTATAGATATGTATATACATGGATATATATCTATACATATGAAACATTGAAGAAGCAAGTACATGAAAATGAATATGAATTGAAAATTGGAAGAAGAAAAACAGGCCGGACGAAGCATGGTGTGAAGTAAGAACAGGAGAGGGAGGAAAGGGGGGGGGGGGGGGGGGGATGAAAGCGAGGTGGTGGTGGAAGAAGGAAAGGGAGGATAGTGCTAGAGCTCACGGAATATTGTTGAATTTAAATGAATTTTGGGGGAAAAAAATGTTTAAAAATAACTCGTCGGGAAACTATTCTATAATCGAAGGAATATTTATATGAGCATGACAGAATATATCAGAAGGAACCATGTGTAGTAGAAGAACTTTCACAAAAGAATACATGATCAATGAAGAGGATGGATGCATGATGACACAAGTATGAGGAGAGATGACGTTAGACGGAAACAAGAAATTGAAATATCACATCGGTAAGTATGCTCACGAACACATACTTCTATAACTCTCAAATTGAGTATATCACAACCGAGAGAAATGGAAGAGCAAGGTGATTGAGACAGAAGATAAGCCTTGATCAAGCTGTCAAAAGTTCAAAAAAGTTTTTTTTCTCTTTTTAAATCAACCAAAGAGATAGCCATATTTGGATAATTGCAGAGAATGGCATTTTTGCAAATTTTACTTTTCACTTCAAACTCCGTTTTTATGCAAATTAACTTCATCGAAGGAAAGAGAGGAGGGGGGGGGAGCAGAAATAAGATGCTGTTCGCGGAATATTCCACGTGCAATTCCACGTAAGACTTTTTTAACAAGAAGAAGCGAAAGCGTTAATATACAGCTCATTATTATTAGAAAGAAGCTGCAGAACGGTTGTATCTGAATTTCTCTTTTTTAACCTCTCGATCTGTCTCTCATTCACCATCTACTTGTCTCGTCCTCTCGTTTACTCAATAATTCCCTCTCTTCACTAACCATCTTACTATTTCTCTCTCTCTCTCTCTCTCTATCTCTCTTGATCTTTCTCTCTATCTCCCTCTATGTTCTTCTCATTCTTTTTTTTTCTTCTTTCAAAAAAACAAAAAAATAAGGATGAAAAGACGTAAATAACGTGCAAGTCATAGTAGGATACGCATAGTATCATCGATTTCGATGCTGTTGTCAGAAATTTTTGTCGTTCGACGGGTTAGTTGGCTTGAAGCGGGAAGAGTAGAAGTGTGAAGTCGAGTAGCATTATCGACAACAAGAAAAATGAGCACAAACCGATTCAAAAATACGATTAAGAGAGCAGAATGTGATAGGCTTGAGTTATTTGAATGGAATATTTGTGTGAGACTGGACAATGTGAATAGAATAAAGAAAGATCGAATACAGAAGTAATTAAGATCTTCATGCTTGTTTCTTTCTGCCTTCAAGAGGCCTATAACATGCTCTCGAAAAATTGAATAAAATTCAGTTTTTTTTTCTCTTTTTCTTCTTCTTCTTTTCTTTTCTCGTGAGTAAAAACGAAAATAAGAAGGAGGGAGTCAGGAAGAGACAGATAGAGAGAGAGTGGAAAGGAGTAAGGAACGGCCAAATGATTCGTTCAAGTAGACACATGGTTGTGGTTAATAGACAAAATGACACGACTTATGTCTTCTGAAGCTTCTTGCTATATCAGTTGTGCTAATCTTGACCACAGAAAGAGCCTCGAAAACGAGAAAACGTCTCTAATTTCGTGCTTAAATTAGGAAGAAAAAAAAACTTTTCAAATCAAACGGAACACAGGATAAGAAGTGGAAGAGAAGACGATGGGTAAATGGCAATGAACTTACGTGTTCCAACGGACAAGTTACAAGCTTCATCTGGACTATGACCCTGATCAGTAACAGCTCGAATTGAAACGTTCACAGATGAATCCAAGGCAACATCTTCTATTAAGGCACGACACTGTAACACAATTATTGTATTGAAATTGAAAAGTTTCAACAAGTACTTTATAAGACCCAGGTACTACAGCTCGAACATGACCATCTATACAGACGTGATATTGGGATACAGCTACGAAAGACTCCTCAGGTGGTGACCAAGATATCACCAAAGATCTTGATAATTTTTTCTCAACTACTAAGTCACGAGGACATGGAACTGAAATAGTATGAATGATTAAATGTAATTAATATTTTTATTTTCGTTGACAACTGAGTACTTCATAGATTAACATGCTTGCATCGTTTGCCTTCTTCCTCATCTCATACTCTTCCTGATAAACGACCAACCGCTTTTAATGTTCTCTCAAACTGTTTTATGAAACTTAATTCTTATACTTTTCACCTTCTTCCGAAACCAATTGAGGCTATAAAACCCTTTTTTTCTATTTACTCATCATCCTTAGTTCTCCAACATCCCCCCCCCCCATGCTTCATCATCCTATCTTTGTCTGTCCTTTTTCCTCTCTCTGTCCTGTATTTTTCTTTTTCCCTCCCTCCATCCCTCTCTCTCTCTATTGCTCTCTTTTGAGTTTCACTCTTAACACAAACGTCCATAGATGGTTGTTAGAATAATGCCGGACAATTTTCTTTGTTCGAATACACATATATGGCAGTACGCTTGGGTTAGATAGCATATACCCCGTCATCCATAGCTTGAAGCTAGAATCTCCGCTTTTCCCAATGCTTCTAACTGAGTGGACAAGGCAGCGCCGCAAGACGAGAATGCCGGGGGTATCACTAAACAAAGCCTTAGGACTTCGTTGGCTATGTCAATCTCATTTTCTTTTTTGCTTCTATTTCGTCTTTATTTCTTTTCCATCTCTTCCAACACTAATGCTGCCTTCTACTCATGCTTTCTTAGTCTCTATTTGGCTTTTAGTCTTTACTTGCGTTTCTTCGCAATACTTTGTCGTCGAATACTTTCATTTTTTAACGTAGTCTTTTCTCCCTTTTTTCATTCTTTATTTTCACTTTTCTTTCTCTTTTGCTCTTACACGTCTAGCTTCAATCGATGCATCAACTCCCAAGAGAAACTGAGAAACTGAAGGAGAAATCTAAAGAGAAAGGACACAGAGGCCTAAGTAAAAGATGCAAAAGTAGCCGTCCATTTCAGTCTTCTGCCGTTAAGCATTCCATTTTTTGTCTGCCATAGAGAGGCAGAAAAAAAAAGAGGAAAAGCAGAAGAGGAAGAGAGTAGATGGCTAGCAAAACGGAGAGATGATGTCATGTCAAAAAGATCTACCACGATATCTGTCAATGCTTTCATTTGTAATTTAATTAAATAAAAAAAATTATTTTTTTACAAAGCATTTGTAAACTGTAAGCTCATGATGTGATCTTAGAACTTTCTTTTCACGGAAATCAGGAGGAAGGAAACAGAAAAAGACCGGAGACAAGGTGAATTACGCAAGATCGGAAAGAACGGAAGCTAACGGAAAGCTAATATCTTCAGAAATTTACCTCTTCTTTACAATATAATAATACAAATAAATGGTATCATGAACTATCTTCAAACTTCAAATGTAATTCATCCCATCGAATGCTTGTTGGCGATGAATGCTCAGAGTTATACATATAGCTTACTAGAAGCCGATCTAACTGAATTATCTCCTTATATGTAACCATATAATGAAATAAGCTAACACTTCGACGTTATATCAAAGATTAGATATGAGCATATGTTATCGTATGAAGATTCTATACCTTATATAGATAAACAAAAGAAAACTTCAAACCCTACCCTACCCTTCCTTCTCTGTCTAGCTCTCTGTCTCGACACTCGTTTACAACAATTTTCATTGCAAACAACAACAAATGACCAACAGATCAGTTTATTCTTCAATCTTGTAATGTTGCGGGCATCTTTTAAAGTTACTAATTGCAACCTACAAACTAGATTTTGCTTCCAACAACTACAGCTTTTCTCTTTTACATAGACAAATGAACCGTAAAAGGAAGTTAGTAGATGGGAAACATGCTTTTAGCAACTTCCAAATTTGCCATCGGTTTTGGAAGAAGAAGAAGAAGAAGAGGAGAAACAGAGAGAGAGAGAGAGAGAGTGAAAAAATTATTTTATTTTTCATCTTTCATTTCTCTTGTGTTTCGACATGTTTCACAATAGATCAAAATCTTATATTTCATCCATCTCGCATTTGATCTCATCTTTCTCTCATGAACGTCTAAAATAAATTTAGACGAAGATATCCAAATGAGAGAAGTACTTTAGATGTTGGATCACCTTGAGTACACTGCTCTAATTCGATTGTCTCACTAAATGTTGCTATTTCTCATTTAAGAGCAATGATAATGTGTCTGATCTATTATCATTTGAAAGTTATTATAGGTAAGCAACCAATGTTCTTATATCTCTCTTGCTTCCTTTAAGCCTCTTCTTCATTTCCCTCTTTCAGATCATCAAACCGCGCTCTCTGAGTTTGCCATACAAGGAAAAAAAAAGGAAAAGGGGGAGGGAGGGGGATAGAATGAGAAGTGGTCGAGTGAGTAAGTGGAGAAAATGAGGATAGAAGCTTGTATAGAATGGGAAAATCATCGAAGAATAGAGAGGGAGATAGAGGAAAAAGAGCTCAGAAGCAATGGGTGGTGTGGTTACTAGTGAAGCCTCGACAAACCCTTCACACACGATCAATTCGCCTCAAATAGACAATGAATGTTAAACCAACCGACTTAGTTTCTTAATATGGAAAACACGAATACGTTCTAGGATGGGAACGCTGCCAAATGAAATTTTCATAAAAATTAAATATTTTTGTTGGACCAATGATGGTGGTGAGTGAACGATGAACGATTGATTGTCCAAGCATTCGAACAAATTATCTTGAATCTCATAAGGAATTCATATCGCAATGGCTATCAAGAACCTTTTACATCCAATTTGAGCGTGTACTTCGAGCATATAAACTTAAAGTAGCTTAAAAATAGTAAAAATGCAAAAGACATTTTCAACCCATTTTTCAAAAAAAAAATGAGCTGAAACGAGCAAAAAAAAAAAGTTCGCAACACTCACTGACTATCGCTAAGTAACACAAGTTCAAAGAACCATTCGCACACCATTACATGATCATTCATTCAAATCCCCCCTTTCCCCGTCTATGAAACTATTTCATTCATTATCCTTATCTTCCAATTGCCACACCAACTTTCTTTCATTTACAGAGAGTATATTCGATACCTCGCTCTATTCCCAATATCTCTCTTTCTCTCTCTCTTCTACTTACTCTTATAGCCTCTCTATCATCTCAGTTATAAAACGAAATATAAAATTAATGAAAAGTAAAGAAACGAAAAATATAAGAAAACTCAAATACCTCGTGGGCTATCATTTTGCTTGATTTCCTGTACTGACACTTTAGTAACATCGGCTGGAGGATACGGACACACGCTATCAGGCAAAAAATTGTTGGTTTCGGATTCGTTAAACTCTGAATGAAGTAAATAAGTAAAAATAATTTTCCCATAAATGGTATGAGAGGTTAGATGTATGTACAGAACCGCTCTACTCAATGCATGTTTCAAAAATAAAAATAAAAAGCAACCACGGAGAGTTCACGTAACGTGTACGCAACCGTGTACGTGAGCCCTACGTGAACTTTATGACAAATGAAACAAACGAAAAATCAAAAGGTCAACGTTGTAAAGCTTATTGAAGTAGATAAATACCTGTGAAATCGTGTGGAATGGCTGCGAGATGAGGAGGAACTGATAAAGGGAAGCTGGGTGATGGTGCTCGTGCGTTCTGCAGGATTAGATGATCAGGAACTCTGTAAAAATGAAATATATGAAACATAAAAGTGTTAATTGTTTGATAATAAAATTAAATGTTGATGAATTCATCCCATTGAGTGGAAACGGAGTAGGAGAGAGTGGAGAGGATGGCGAAGGAGAACATGGGTAAGCTGTTAAAAAACTGAGAACAGACCTCCAAGAAATTGAATAAATTAAGTTCATTTAAAATTAATTCCAGACACATTGATATGTATTCCAAGATGATGTCAGTAAATCCCAGTTAAATGAGCTATAGTGCTCGAGTTGTGAAGTATTTCAGTGTTTGAACCGCCTGAGGGTAATCCCTCGCATTTTTTAGGTCTTTCATGATATCTCAGCCCCGATGTTCAGATGTTCAAGTGGAAAAAAGTTGAGAGAGAGAGAGAGAAAGAGTAAGAGAGGGAGGAAGAAAGGAAGATAGAGAGAGACAGAGAGGGAAAAGAGATATTGAAGAAACTATAAATGAAGGGAAAGATTGGAAGAGACTAAGAGATGGAAGCGTAAGCATGAGAGATGGATTTCAAGTGAAAGATGGCGGCGAATTTTCGGCCGAAATATGAATGAAATTACATAAGAGACGCAAGTCTGCGGCAGAAGAATATGAGGTGAGGAAATTAGTGCTTTTCGATCCCATTTATCCACAGCAGCATTCCCTTCTTCGTTTCATTTATATTTTGCTTCTTCTAGGCCACCCCGACCATTGTATAGATCAATAGTTGGATGTGCTCTTTTTTCTCTCTCCAACTCTCTCTCTCTCTCTTTCTCTCTTTCCTCTATTTCTCTCTCCCTCTCTATGTCTCTCTCAATATTTCATTTTACTTTCGTATCTGTCTGCCTGTCTGTCTCTTGTCATTGTGTATATGAAGTTGTTGGCGAACTAGTATGTCTCTTCCTTTTTGCTTTTCCTTCTCTTCTCTCATTTTCCTTCTTTTCATTTTTCTTTCTCTTTAGGCTTGAATAATTTGTTCTCGGTGGGTTCCTGGCCTAAATAGCAGAAACATTCAAAACATCTTTCAGTTATAATACTAATAAAAGCCATCCCCCAGATCCGTTTTTAATCAAAAAAACAAGGCTAAATTAGCGACAAACAGTTCATTACCGTGGCTGAGAAGAATTTGGCCTCTCTCTCTCTCTCCTTCTCCTTCTCCATCTCCTTCTCCCTCTGACACATCCACAGACACCCATTCTCTTTCTCTCTCTCTCTCTCTTCGTTTTGTTTCCAAACATAAGAAATACTTTCTGCATATTTCAACAATAAACCGCTAAAAATGGAAGCTAAGGATCAATAAAGAACTGCCCGAAGATTTAAAGTCCTCTGGGCTTACAGCGTTCAGTCTAAAAAGCTTTTGCTCTCTTAAATTAACGCAACTTTCTCCTTCTTCAGCTTTTCCATAGCTCTCATTTTCAAAAATTTTAATTTTTTCTTTCAACCACAAAAAAAAGGAGAAAAAAATAAGAAAAGAGCCAGGCGTCCAAAGAAGAAAATTGGAAAAAACTTTACAAATCAGATCGGCAGAGCACACTCATGACGTAGTAAACAGGCAAAACTGATTCTGATTGAACCATTTTTGGAGGAAAAAAAGAAATCTCAAAGCTCAAGCTGAGAGCTTTTTTTTCAAAAGTTTTTGAAATCCAAAAAAGAAAGGAAAAAAAAGTTTTCAAATTGAACATCTGTCAAAGGAAAGCACCTGGACACCCCCATAATCAGGCAACTGATGAGAAAAAAATTTTTTTTAATAATTTTGGATTACAAAGTGAAACTCGAAGTAATGAATAGAAGAGAAACAGATAGAGAGAAGGGAAAGGAAGAGGTTAACACGTATAGAGAGAGAGAGAGGGAGGAAGAGAGTGACAGTGTGACAGAGGAAGATATTTGAGAGCAAATATGAATTGGAATACAACAGGAGTTGTCCACAACGAAAATGAGAATTAAAAAAAGCTAAAAATTTATACCAAAATTGGTGAAAATATAATGACTTGAGAGTTGAAGTAAGCTACTGGCACCTGTCGTTCACTTCTCATAAACGACAAATTGGAGATTGAAGCTGAGTTAAAAAACATTTGCAAAGCTCCCTATGGAGCTGAATGGGAAAAAAATACAAAAACGGAGAAAAAAAAAGTAAAATTCGAGATGCACGTTTTGGTTCATTAAGTAAAAATAAGAAATTTAGTCATTAGGAAAGGTTGAATAAAGAGAGAGCGCGAAAGAGATGCACACACAGAGCTAAGGAACTCTCTCATAGGTTAAAAGGGAAAAACCCAAAGAGAAAGAGTAATTGGCGGAAAAAAGCTATAAGATGTTTGAAGCAGAGACGAAAGGCAGTGCTCCAGCTCCTTGATTAGCAATTTTCTAAATATATTTCAGCCTGACTTACGACATTTACAATGCATTAGTGAGTGGTCCAAAAGCCTAGTAGTTAGTCCTTTTTTTTTCTTCTCAATATTCGTTCTTCTTCAACTTTTTCTTTTCTCCTCTCTCTTTCTAATTCTCTTATCTCTTATAGAAACTCTCTTATTCTCACTTGTTACATGTATGGTTTGAAGAAGTATGAGGGGTTATGGGATGGGCTTAATGATAACGCGAACAAGAGGAGGAGAGGGAGGATGAGAACGAAATCAAACACTTTTCTACTCCCAGAGCTATACAGTCCACAAAATTGTGGGAAAATATGAAAAATTAGACAGCCAAGTATACCAGCTTAAAAAAAAAGAAAAAATGAAGAGAAAAGGCAATCTATATGGATGAATGTAGTCTCAATACAACCAAAACAATCAACCGAAAACAACACATACGCACACACACACACACACACAGACACACACACACAAGCCACACATGGAGTAAAAGGGTAACTCAAATAAAATGACAACGAACTTCTCTTTCCCAAATTTGGAAATGAAAAGTGGGAAGCGTGTGTATGTGCATGTGGGCAGAGGAAATTGAAACAACGATTTGTAATGAACGACATTTAGAGAATAAAACAAGAGCAACACAACAAACAAACAAACAAGGAACTAATATGAAAATCCATAATCACAAAAACGGAATGTACGTCGAAGTATTAGAATGGGAATGAGAGACGGAACAAGAATAAGAAGGGAATGAGCTTAGCTCAATGGGAGAAGCATCATCAAATCAAACAATGTTGTGTAAGTAATTAGGTTAACATACCTTTCAACATAATTAGATGGAACTAAGCCAACTCTTCCATCAAGTGTTTCGCCGCTGAAAAAACCATCCGAATCCATTTCTCCTTTAACTAGTATGACATCTCCTGGTGCCAGCGCCAACTCTAGTTGAGGATTTTCATTTGGAGAATCACGCAATGGTAGATATTGGAATAATGCTCGAAATACGCGACAATGAGGTCTTTGGCGTAAGCTGAGTAACAGCTGATCACTAGCTAATGGAAATCTGGAGGAATGTGGAGTTGTGCTGTTGCCAGGATGGATGATGCCCGAACTGATGGTAAGACCACCATTGCTGCATAATCCAGACGATGTTGTTGGTATCTGATGCAGACTAGTACTAGTTCCACCGAGCACACTGAATGGTCCGCCAGCCGTAGATGACGTTTGGACGGCGGACATGAGAAGCAAGATATAAACGAGTATATCTGTTTAATATATATATATATAAATATATATATATAGTATATATATAATATGATGGATGCTAGGGGGCTATTGCTCAGCTAGATGATGACCATATTCGGCAAGAGCAGCTTCAGCGTCCTCGACTGCTGTTGCTGCTGCTTTTGGCTAATCAGCACACGTGAATATGGGAACAAACGAATTGTTTAGCAGAAATTTTCTAAGAATAGAAGTTGACGATAGACGTCGTTAAATGAACACCACGATAGTGTTGCGTTACAGTTAGTCAAATTGGTCCTAATACGGAATATAGTATGAGTATGAATGATTACGTAATAGTAACTACGACTTAAGACCTAATTGTAAAAAAGTAAAAATGAATAATAGAGTGTTGAGAGTATGTCAGTTATGTGTTGCTTTCTCTCAACAATATTGTTGAACAGTGCAGCTATAGAGAAAGTAGAGAGCAATCGAAGAAGGACAGATGAATGTGCAGAAATCTCCAGATGATACGTCGTCCTGCTGAACGTATCAAGAGGCAATGGTTATTAAGCCTGCAAAAAGAAAACGTATCTTCAGAAATACGAAAATAACTAAATTATTTTGAGCAGTTTAAAATATAAAAAAGAAGGCAAACGAAATGAAATCAGAGGTAAAGCAGCCTTAAAGGTATCACCAAAACACCAACCACACACATACACATACACATACACATACACAAACATATTACGAGAACAGAGAAAAAGAAGAAGAAGAAGAAGCAGAAGAAGGAGAACAAGCTGAAGAAGTGTAGTAAGCAGTACCACTGGAGAAAAGAACAAAAATAATTAGCCTAATATGACTTCATAAGTGTTCCCTTCTTCTACTCTTTGTAATTGCTATTTACACGCAATAAAATACTTTATAAAGCAAGATGGAAGAAGCAAAGCCGATGACGAAGAATTAAATTAAAATTTTGAAAATGGTTGGGAAAAAAACGAACAAAAAAAAAAAAGAGAAAAACGAATAGAATTTTTAATTGCAGACCACACAACGTGACCTCCATCCGCCTTTTAAAGCGGATGAGCTTTTCGATTCATCAGGTTGTCTCGTTTTTGCCTCAGCTAAACTGTTCGAAGCCATAGCCTCAAGCCAAACGACAACCACGATGACAACAGCTAGCTCAAGCCACATAAGGCAAAAGGAGGAGAGACATACATACACATACAGCCAGAAGAACATCGATTCCGGCCACGCCTGAAAACCACGCCCACACTCTCCCCACGGCAAAGCCGAGCCACACAAGCTTAAGCTCCCGTCGCAACCCTCCTGCAACCCTTGCATTCCATTTTCTTCTCTCATTCGCCTTTCGTGCTACCCACTCTCTGATCGAGTTTTTGTCTATAACAAGCGCTCATTCTCTTTCCTGCGCTTTCGCTTTCTCTATCTCATTCATCATGGCCATTCTCTCTTTCTCTATCTCTTCATATTCACAATCTATCTTTAGCTTCATGTGCTTCTATGTCTATAGCATCCTGTATAGTCTTTCTGCGGCTCGTGTAGCCTTCAGAAAGTCTTCTCGTCTACTCCTCAAGCTTCGTCTTTTTGCTATTTCGGCTTGAATCGTCGACGGACGACAACCAGCCTTGCTAGATTCTCCCCTAGCAGCATATCAGTCTATTCTTCTACTCTTTTACTCTTTTACTCTCAATGACACTCGGCCCACTTTCTATTCTCTTCTCTCTATCTTTCTTATCCCCTCTTTGGCCACTTTCTGGAGAAGGAGCAGCACCAGCAGTAGCAATAGCTGACAAACCAACTCAAAAAAGAGAAGAAGAGAAAAAATGAAGGAAAAAAAAATTGTGAAAGACCTGATAGAGAAGGAGACGAAAGAAAAGAAAAATGAAATGTGGAAGCTTGAAAGAGGAGTAGCCATACTAGAGTAAGAAAATCAGTTGAAACAAGAAGAACAAGATGAAGAAGACGAGCCAAGCCATCGCATCTTACACACAGCCCACACATACACATACGTACTCACATGCACACACACACACATACTCACATACAAGCTCTCAATAAACGGCAGCGATAGAAGCAGAAGAAATGAAACTTCAATATCGCTTTGAGAGATGAAGAAAAAGAATTTTCAAAATTAGAAAACAGCTGAAGAGAGTGAGCAGACCGATGCAGATATACGCAAATGGCAAAGGATGAAAATGCAAGATTTTTCCTGTTCACTTTGCGCTTTCATCTCTTCACTTGCTTCAACAGGCTCATGAATAATGCTTATATAGATACTCTGAAATCAACAAGTAAAAGCTGCTTAAACGATTTAAAAGATGCAAAAAATGCTTCATCGCAATTCGATGAGTGATCTTATGATCTCTATGACTGCATTTGAAACTTAAAAATATATGAACGAACTTTCCGCAAGTAGATCATTTACATTTTTTTTATTCACTTCTTTCTTTTTTTTTCTTTTCTCTCCTTCTTTTTTTTTCTGCGGCTAGCCTCTCTTTCATCATCACTCAAACGACAGACGATAAAGAAGCACTTTGAAAATGAGGCAACTATGAATACTAATATGAGAATGCAATTGACTAAAAATGGCTAGGTCATCTGAATCATCCCAGAATGGCAACCACACAACTCAATGAGATGCCCTCCGGCAAAAAAATATTCCATCACGCATCTTCTTTCATTGTTCGCTTCTCTCATATTTTTATTCATGAGATGAGATGGAAAGCCGACCAACAAAAAAAATTGAAGAAATATGAACACAATTCGAAATTTGAAACCTCTACGCTTTTAACGAAACAAAAAAAAATGTTAATGATAACGACTAAATAGATGTGATGTCATCTTAATTAGAATATTCAATATGATCATTACGTAGAACGCAAAGTCGTGCTACGTGTAACCTGACGCGCGCACGTGAATCATTTCCGCAGAAAGCTCGCGCACCGGTCGGTTGCTATTTCTTCCATTCCTCATATTCTCATATCTCTCTCTATCTAGCAAGCTCTCAGCTTTACCTCTCTCACATCCTGTTACTCTTTCTTTTGTTCTTTTCATTTTCAATCTTCATGCATACCTCCACCATTATCAATTTACAAGCTTCGTGAGTCGTATGAGAAAAAGCAAGACAATACCGAAAAAAAAGTATTTTTGCGTAAACAGAAATAATTTTTTCTTGTATAAGAGATATGGAGAAATGGAAAAGAATATGCAAACTTTGTATGATCTACAGAGAGAGAGAGAGAGAAAGATAGAGAGAGAGAGGGAGGGAAAAAGAGAGAGAGAGAAAGCTGGGAAGAGAATCGATATACATCCAGTTTTCATAAAACAAAAAAACAATATAGTTAAGTCCATCTAATTAGAATCATTTGCTGAAGGTTCAACGGAATTATCAACTTTCCTATTTAAAAATGGCACTAAATCCATAAATTTCATCACATTCTTTGACAAAGCGTATGTAATAGGATCTACAAAATTCTCAAATTCCATAACCTCACATCGTTACCAATTTCATCGACCGCCATTTCATTTTTAGAAATTCGTCTTTGACAACTTCTTTCCACAATCTGTCGCACACAAAACTCACACTAAACTTCACCTGATCACGCTGTGCATGTAATGATGGGGGGTGGAAAAGCGAAAACGACATCACATTCTCTTACTCGTCTTCTTCTTTTTCTTTCTTCTTTTTTTTTAAACCAAAATGTGCCCAAAATAATTAGTCAATGGAAAATTGTTGAATATTTCGGGGTCGCTTTCAGGGAATCCAATCACAGCGGTTCATAAGTCGTCCCTTGAGGGCACACAAGCCATTCACCAACAGCCACTTTCCAAATAATCACATTCACATGCTCAATCATAATTTATATTCTTACAAAGTGGCTCAAAAGATGTCGAAAATATTAATTTTCTTATCTTCAAAAAAGAAAAATTAAATCAAAAAGTGCTTTTTGCAGCTGAAAAGTATCCTTAGAAGTAGCAAAGAGAAAATGAGTAAATGATGGAGGGAAAGAGGGAGAGAGGGAGAGAGAGACAGAGAGATACAGAAACAGAAAGAGAGAGTGACTACATATCCGATTGGATTGAGTAACCACTTCCAGAGAGAGAAACGCTGTGACAGAAAAAGAGAATTTAACTTCTGGCACACATTTCTTATGGTCTTTCTCCATTTAAGACTTTGTTTTCTATTAGTTTCAACATAGAAACCATCAGGTCATCGACTGTTCTCCTCAATCTTCACAGAAACAAATCATTTCTGATGATAATCCACCCTATATTCATCCTATTTACTTAAACGTTATGTACTTTTTACAAACCGCTTCACAGAAAAAAATGAAAAAGCCGAAAGACACTCCTTTCCAAGCCCATCTCATTCATCATCCCTTCCCTTCCTTCAGTCGTCTCGACTGACGCAAAACCAAACGACCAAACCACCGACAGCCGTTTCTTCATGAGAGGAAATATTTCTTTTTATGCAAAAAGAGAAAGAAGACAACCGAAGAAGTTAACCAATTAGTAAATCAATTCAGCGCAAGATAGACTGCTACTCTGATTGCTCATAAGACGAATGACAGGCTTGCAAGTTCAACCCCATAACTCGAAACCTCAACGGCTTCTAACGATCATCAAACAGAAATGAATTCATGATGATAAAGTTTCTGAAATCTTTATAACAACAATGAAATTCAACAATAACAGGTGAATCGGGAAAATAACTCAAATATCACTATAATTTCTCAAAAATGGCGATATAATTGCCTTGTTCCTTCTCTACACTTTCCAGACGACAGCCATCCACAGAATTGATTAATTCCTCCATTTCACCCTCCCGAAAAACATGGTAAAACCTTAAACCTCAGTAAACTTTCACTATGCAGCTACAATCGAACATACCTAAGGAAAGTTTCATTCTGGGCCTCAATAATCCAAGGGACAAGCACGTCTTGTTGAGCAAAATTCTTTCCGTCATGAATCTTCAACCGTTCCGTACCACTTTCAAGCACTTCTGTCTCATCCTATAAACATATTGTTCAAAAAGAAATTCAGAACTCGTAGTACAAACCTTGTTATTCCTCATTTTGGCGTATTCCGAATCGCTCTGATCCATAGACCATACGGTAATGCAAGCTCTACCACCAGGTTTCAAAACTCGCAAGATTTCTTTAATCAGCTGTTGCCTTCGTACAAAAGAAGACATATGATGAAGGACAGCAATTGATATAACAGCATCAGCATTATCTTTGAATGGCAAATGTAATCCATCAGCTCGACAAACATGGCAATTCTTAAGAATTTCAAAGGTTAATGTGATTCTTGAAACTTCAAAGAACTTTTCTATAAGCGATTGAGCACAATCCGTTGCACATATCACATCCGATCTGAAGAACAGAAGGTTCATCTTTGATATCAAGAAGGAACTAACTTTGATCAATTTATCATTAGCGATCAGATACTTTCCGTTTCCACAACCGACATCATACATCACAGAGTAATCCGGGAGTGATTCCAGAAATCTATGAATAATTAAAAATTTATTTTTAACAAGCCTGAGTTACTTTTTAACGGCTTTCCAACTAGAATGACGAGTCTCATCGAAATGAGACGAAATTTTTTCATAAACTTCACTAACATAATTATCCTCCAACTTCCTTGCAGCTGTTTCCGAATTCGGTATACCCATTTCTCCTGCAAGCACGAAAGCGAACATTGTTGTTAACGGGACGATCCCCAAACCCTTTCTGTCCCAATCACAAAACTCTTTATAATCACATTGGCATGGCTCATGGCGGATTTTGCGGAATGTTAAAGATATCCGTAACTCTCTTTTGAGCATTTTGTTTGAAACTGGGTCAACATCGTAATTTCTATTAACGATTCTGAAAAGTACGTTCGTGAGGATTGTTGATACACTCTGTCCTACCCATGTTTCCATTTATACCTCGACTCTCCTTGAATCACACATAAGGACTTTCGTTTTAAAAGGACTGGGGCAATGCGAGCTGAATTAGCTCCGTCTTTAAATTCCATCACAACATCAGATAGTAAACTTCAGGGAAACAGAATAGATTAAGAATCTCAAAAGGATATTCACCTCAAAGATATCACAGGGTCTTCAAATGCAGAATGAGTATCATAATGAGATGGAATTCCTTGTCCTGGCTCATAAATGTTAGCTGTTATCTAAAACGATCCAGATAATACATCTTCTTAACCCTTACAAAACTTGATCAGGCATCTCTGTAGTTATCCCTTCCTTTACCAAGCGCTCAGCGAATTGCCTTATGAGCTCAGGTGCAGGCTCTGTAACTTTTGCTCCAGCGTTTGTACCATAATCGAACTCGTGTTCAAAATGAATTACACTTCGATGCTTGAGGGAAGCATCTGCAACAAAGAATATGAAATTATTCTGGAAGGCTTCTTACTTTTTGGATGCTTGAGTAAAAGATCTGCTATTTCCTGTTCTAATTCATCGCTTAGAAAGTCCTCTCGGATAACCAAATCCGTCGGAAAGGTTTGTTCTCTTTTCTGCTTTTCGTTTGGAACTGTAATGCGTAGTATAATCCCGGAAAACGGAAAGGATAAACGAACGATTTTCAACAAAACTAATGACGAATGGTTGATGGGATTTCTTGAGTTTGGGATGTACAAAACCGTTTAATTCTTCTCGAGCATGAACAGCCTTTTCAATGGTTGATAACGTTACAAAGGAATAAGACCTGAATCTGATCAATCAGGGAAGAAAGAGGATATAGCGTACCTCTTATTGGGATAAACTACGTAACTGGCTTCGCTGTCGAATTCTGAAAATATATCTTCTACCTCTTCGGGAGAAACATCACAAAGAATGCTGCTATTACTCACAAGTAAGTTCTGAATGGAATAAAATTATTTCATGACGGCGAAAAATGAAAAAACCGTGGTCGGTACTTCAGATACTCGAACTTCGGGATCATGTTTCTGGAGTTGTTCCACACTTTTATGAATTTTCTTCTTTAACTTCCCATAAGTAAGCTTTTCCCCTATTCGTCTCTCCTTATTATGATTGAAATCTAGAAAACGCAGTTACAAAACAAATGTTTTATATTTACTCACACATTTAGTTCGAGTTCGGTGGAATAAGCTAAGTGGGTACGTAATGGACGGCCGTGTGGTTTCCCACAACTGCACAAGCTATTCTACATTTCAGAACCCTGGCAAGTGCGTGTTGTTAGTATTAACGGAACAGTTATAACTCCTATATTCTATTCTTATAGTAGACGTTAACAAATTTATTAATCTTCATTTCACGAATTCGGTAATACTGTTAATACTAATGTCGTCTGTTGTGTTCTTCGCAATTTCATTTGAAGCAATGGCTAAAATTGTTTTTGTAACAGTTGCGGTACCCATGTACTACAGCTGATGAACATCCCAAGATTCAGTGCTTGAAAAGTGAAGTTGAATATCTGATAGAGTTCGAGATTCATTGACCTGCAACAGAGGTTTCATCATATAACACTGATAACTGTATGAACAACAACCTAGTCGTGAAGAGTTTCCTGTTCTTAACTAACAAAACTGTTAACAAACTCAAACTGATCATGAAAAATTGAAGAAGGAAATAAAATCCTGAACGACATGACTGATTATTAACGGATTTTTCATAGAAACACCTAATAAGGGGAATACATCTGTTTTGGGCACCATACTATCCAGAATTCCTAGAAGGATGGACATGCTCATCACATTTGTTAAACCCACTGACACCTTCAAGAACCTTGTTTTAACAGTCCTTCTAAAATTATTATCACCCTAGAGAGAATATCTGTTCCTTTCAAGAAGATTCCCACCGTTGAAATGGCTGAAATCACAAAAGTGGGTACCATGAAGGACAAAATGTAACTAGTAGGTATTCTCTTAACAATGATTGATATCATAGCCTATTAAGAGGTAGAGAGTAGAGTCATGAGCTGTTCACTAACTGATGAGTAAGCATCGATTTTCAAATCATTCATTTTTACGGTTTCACTCATTCCAACGGATAAAACACTCCATTCGCCATTCCCCTAAGATATGAATGAGTTCAGTTGATCAACTGTATCATACAAGGTCTGTATAAGAGAAATGGCTGTGAACGTAAGCTTTGAGAGAATAGTGATGTTGGAACATCGATTGAATTTCGAATGAAATGCCACATTGCTGAAGATCGAAAGGAAACGAGGATACCTGATAATAAAAAAATACAAAAAGTGTTGTTCAAAAAACAAGACTAACATCATATTGACAGATGGAAGATATCGTTAACGGGAATATGAATGCAATCGCTCCAGTGTTTTTAATCTGCAATTACAATTTTTCTTTTAGAATACTTGGATATCCGACTACAAAATACCAAAGCAAGATGTTGATATGATTCCCTCACATCTGTAGACGATATACTGCAATCGAGTAACTCTTTCAAACAACATTAAACGGAAGAACCAACGCATTCATTGGCGTGAACTCGGGCACCCATAGTTTTGATCGGTGAACATACAGATGTTCAATGCCTCCAAACTCTTCTGGATTCCATTGCAGACGAAAGTCGTTCCAATACTCAAAACAACAAGACTTTTTGTAGAATAAATACAAAAGTGTCTACCATAACGTATTCCAGAACAGAATCGAACTTCCGTTGCGGTTCGTTCTGTTAAAAAGTTGTTGAATCCAAAAAAATAATTGAAAATTCTTCTCACAATACGTGTAAGTTGGTATGACCGCAATTCTATCTCAAGTTTGAAGACATCGTTCGTGATATTATCTTCGAGCCGATCTTAAGAAGTTTCTATGAGAATTCAGAATACAGAAAACGGAGGACGTACACAACGTGTTAACAGGAGCAACCAAACTGTCATACTTCTGAAACAAGCTCTCTACTAAGAGGCTTTGGTAATGAATGAAATGAGCTGTATCAATTGGTTTAATGACAATACTAGATGGTTGAAATGTGATTTACCTGTCGTTGTATTCAATAGGTGGGAAAGATCAACAATACTTAGAAGAAGAGTAAAGAGCAACCTGTAAAGCATATCAAACACTCAGAATGTCACAATAAACATGCGAATGGCAGCTCTTTTTTTGTTGAAATGAATGTTTTTCACTGGTTGCTCCAAGAGTTGCAGCTCCAACTACGAATTATACTTTGAAATTGAAGAAAAAATAAAATAATTTATGTTCTCGACACTAACGACAAAATGTGACAACACCAGTTTTTTATCATCGACCTTCAAGTTTTTTGCGTCTTCCCTGCAACACTGACATGCCCCCAGGCGATGTTCTTAAGGAACTAAAAAGCTGTTAACATCAGCATCAACGATACCGTCTGCTGATTGTCCGAAAAGTACAGTTTCTTTTTTTGCCTTTTGCTTTTCATCTTTTTTTTTTCAACAATCATGTTTCAGGCTGCAATCATGCTCAAGGTAGTGCTTAACTCCACGTTCGTCGTGACATCCATATCATGCTTGACAGCTCTATTTTGTATCTTCTCATTACTCGGCGATATTCAAGATTTTCAAATGGAGTTTGATAAGAGCTACGAAGAATACAAAGTGTGAATTGTTCTTTTGTGCTCATATTATCACGATCGTTCCAGGATTATTCTGACTTAGCTTGGACTCTAATGGACTCAGTCATACGGGGAAGTTCACGTTCGGTCAGAAGCGCTGGCTCATCATGTGGCTGTGGTATGACTTTTTTTCCGTTCAATTATTATTTTCACTTCAAAAAAATTGCAGAGACGTGTCATTCGGGCGTTAACAACTGTCCTGCTGGACCTCGAGGACCACAGGGCCGACCTGGCTCACGTGGTGAAGATGGTGTACCAGGCACAGCTGGTATTAATGGTTTAGATGGAAAATTGGTTGCATTGGATGAATTTGATATCCCAAGTGGATGTATTCCATGTCCTGCCGGTGTTCCAGGGCCACAGGGACCACCTGGGCCAATTGGACTTGCCGGTCAACCAGGAAATCCAGGACATCCAGGGCAGCCTGGCAGAGGTGGTACACCAGGACAACCTGGTCCTATTGGAGATCAAGGTGTACAAGGATGGGATGGTATAGATGGAGCCGCAGGACATCCTGGCACCAGTGGAAACAAATTCAGACGAGTACCAGGACCTCCAGGACCACGTGGACAACCCGGAGTAGCTGGTAGACCAGGACCTGCAGGAGAAACTGGACCTGTAGGCAAACCAGGTCCTGAAGGAAAAATCGGATTTATTGGTCGTTCTGGAGCTCCAGGCCAATTAGGCCAACCCGGAGTATCAGGAGAAGGTGGCGTGCCAGGTCCAGATGCCGCATACTGTTCATGTCCAGTTCGTTCTCAGGCAAGTTTCACTCGTATTAAAATTTGTAGTAAAAAAAAAAGATAAAAAAAAGAGAAAAAAAGAGAGAGAAGAAGCTGAAATCTAAAAAAAATTCTCGAAATGATAAAAAAAACTTGATTACGTGAAACGTGTTCCATTGTTGGGCATGATGTACTATTCAAGGTCGAAAAAACTAGAGTTGGCCTTTGCCCATACACAGCTTCATGCTCGTTCGAACACAGAATGTTTTTTTTATTTTATTGTTGAACAAGTGTAATGTTTGCAGGTGATTGTGCCGCCAACATCCAAGACTCACGAAGATCTTAAAATACGAAAGTCGATTGTTGCCAACTAAGAGAGTACTGTTACTACGTGTACTGCGTACTGCCTGTTTGTATAAAAATGTTTTTTTTTCTTTTCTTAAATAAATATATTATACAATGAGCTAATTATAACAAAATATTTTTAAAGTTCAAGCTGTACTATATAACCTCAGGGGGCATTCAACAGCTGACTTCTTCAAGTACTTGGTCGTCTGATCCTTAAGCATCACGAGTTCAGATAATTTCAATTTTGAAATACTTTAATAGGATCAATCGGATCGACTACAGATCAAAACCTATACAAAGTTGATACTACATGTATCCAATTGAGATTCAATCAAACTACTTGTACAAGCGTGAGTGTTGTTACGTCAAGGATATGTGATGAAGTTTTTAGCTACAACATCTTCATATGCTTCTTTGTCCATCACTCTTTGCTTTCTCCTTAAATGGAAAATCTCAGGTTGTTGTTATTCACAGTTACGGTGAGTGCTTAGTGAACAAGGAAATACATGAAGAAGCTTGAAAAACAACTTGTTTGAACCCCGAAACAGCAATAGATCGTTGATTCGAAGGGGGGGGGGGAGAAGACGAAAGAATTTTATCACATGAATCATACTTAGAAAATCTCATTAGCATAACTTGAGGATCAACGAGCTTTCACATGTACGCAATAGATATTCCAGTTTGTTATTCTTGAATTTTCATTTTCAAATCGTGTTCGCATCGAACGGTTGGTTTCGAACATCTACTACGAGTGAACTTAACAACGAAACTCTTTCAATGAAGGTATATGTATGTAGGTGTGTATGTGAAAGAGAGAGAAAGGTAGAGAGGAATGTGAGAGGTTAAAGATATTAAAGAGAAAGAGAGAGGGAGAGAAATAGAGGGAGTATGAGAGATCGTCGTACTTATGATATCACATTTACTTCCTATTGTCTGTTCTTGTTCTTTGCCCTCATTCTCGTAGTTCAAACCATTTTTTCTTTTTCATTTTTATTCGTGTGATAATAGAGAAAACAATCAATTGAGCTAATGCTGTCCTTTAATTGTCCTCCTCATTTTATCGTTAAGCACTTGTTAATCTTTCTCATCTACCTTAGAATGTTATTGCCTCAAGGCACAACTTGTCATAAGGGCGGGACAGAGTAGTCATCTGCTCTGTATGTGTGACTCCGCCCATTTTTTCTGGTTTATTTGTGGAGGTCAGCAGAGGAAATGTTGAGAAAGAGCTTCTCAATAAGCTTGAGCTGAATAAGCTCAAAGAAGAAGCTCACCAATCTATTCTTTTACATATTCATTCTTATATATCTCTTTTGCTTTCTTTCATCTTCTATAAAGAATCATCCATACGATCATCTATCTCTGATATGTAGAAATCATTAGAACATCTTGTAAATGAGCATTTGAGCTTCTGAGCTTCTATTGACTCTAATACTGGTAGTCCTTGAGATTTCTTTTTTTCAAAATAAATTTTTTTTTATTTTCTCTATTTCTTCTTCTAATTGTTTCATATTTTTATTTTTTTTCTATTTTTTCAGAATAAATATACAACAGTAACATAAAAACAAGAAAAAAAATATTTTTTTTCTTCTCGTGTCGACTGTTCGGACATTGATAGAGACCGATTGAATCAAAATGCTTGTCGGAACGTATGACGGCTGCAAATTTACTGAAGATCAGCAACATAAGCTTCAGGTATGCTTTCTTAAGTTATCTAGTCATACTTGTCATGTCCCTCTCCTTATCTGACCATCTTTAACTTCATTTCACATTTGGATTTCCATTTCAATGAACTTCAATGTCCTTTTGTTTCACATGATTCATCAATCTCTATGAAGTACATGTGACTTATATCACGAGGCTTCTGAAGATAATTCAGGATAATAATCTGTGCTCTGTTAGAAGCTGAAGCTTGATCTTCAGACAACATTTTTTTTCTGACGTCGTTTTTTTTTTCTCTTCTATATCTCTCTGTCTCTCTGATCCTCAACATCTTATCACGTTCTGTAAGCTCTTGACTGGCGGTCACAGCAGTCGTGTCCTCATCTAATCATATCGGCTTCTCAGCTGATAAGAGAGAGAAAAAAAGAAAAAAAGGATCCGAGAGTTAGAGAGAGGGAGGATAGAGAGGTAAAAACCGCAGATCTCAGCTGATTGAGCTTTAACTGTTCGCTAGCTTCTTCATAAAAATCTATGATGAGATCGAATTAAGAAAAAAAAGGAAATTCTCTTTTCATTTTCTATTTTTCCTCGAAAAATTGGATATTCCGGCGGATCAGATGTTTTCACACAAACAGACAAACCAAAGACAAACAAAAGCTGAAGTGAAATTCAGTGAGGACAGTCTGCTTCAATTCATTCTCGTTTTGAATGTCTTAAAAAGAAATTCCAAAACAGATCAATCATCATGTGAATGTTTTATTTATAATTTTGTTTATTTTTTGAACAAGTCGAAGAAAAAAAATAAAAAATGAAGACAGAATGAGGAAAGAGAGGGAGTCGAATCAAAAGTCATTTGACAGCATTCGGATGAATTGAGTTTAGATGTACCCTGACATGATGACGTCATGTTATTCTTTATATTGTTTTTTTAACTTACTCACCTTTCTCTGTATCTCTCTCTTTCTGTCTCTGTTTATATCTTACTCATAGCACATCTAAGATGTGGTAAGGATGAGAGAGAGAGAGATACTAAGGATACTTGAGAGAGAGTTGGGAAGTTAAAGGATCAGATGAAGAAAGAGAGAGATTGAAAATCATCTTTATCAACGAAATGGTTTGTTGATCAGAGAAATCGGAAAACATTCTGGAAAACAATGAGAGTAAGAAAGATATGAAGTGAACAACTCGAAAAGCAATTTCCGAACGTCTTCGATGATTTCATGTGAAACTCAAGTGCCTTGTTGTTGTTTATCTCTCATAAACTAATTTGTTGTCACGACCATTCTCATTTTCTCTTCAAATCTTCTATCTTTCTCTATTTATACTTTTAAAGAGACAACTTGCCGATAAAATTACAAACTATGCTTCCATCGATGAGATTCGTATGCTGCTTGTGTGCGGAGCACAGGTACATTAAGCTTGGACATCATCTGACTTGCTCAACTTGTGATTTCAGCCAAATCAACCAGTTACACGTGGATTGACTCCTCTTCATTACGCGTGCTTCATCAATTATTTTGCTGCTGCTAAACTTTTACTCAACAGAGGAGCTAAGGTATACAGATGATCAAGATTTCATAATCAATCTCTGATCATTAAGGTTGACGCCGTTGATGAAGTCGGCTGTTCAGCTTTGCATCTTTGCGCTGAACATGGACACTATCGAATGATAAAGCTCTTATTACAATATATGGAAGCTGTACAACAGTATGAAACTCCAGTTGTCGTTGAGAACGGAAAATACCCCAGCAGAGACAACGTAGATGAGCCTCTTCGTTTGGCAATAAAGGTAATTCAATACTCTTACACTCTGGACACTCATACTTCAATTTTAGAACGGTCACTTTGATTGTGCCCGTCTTTTGTTGGAGAACGGAGCAACACCTAACGCTGTTTACTTTGATGGCCCTGAAATCACACATGTCAGCCCATTGGATACACATTTCATTGAGCTTCTGGTAAAAATTAAAATCCATTCCTTTTCTATCTTAAAGTTAACTTCAGTTGGATCATGGCGCTGATCCAAACGTTTTCGATCGCAAAGGAATGACCCCAATCATGAGAGCTTGCCGTATGAAAGATAAAGGAATTGATGCCATCAGGTTTTTTTGAACTAATTTTATGAACTAATAACATATAAATTAAGATTGTATCTAAGATATGGAGCTAATGTGAACGCAGAAGCTGAAGAAAGACAGGATAAGAGAACAGCCTTGCATTTCGCTGTATTGAGTGGAAGCATTCCTTTGGTTAAATTCCTTTTGGAGGTATTTTTTGTTCAAAACACATCTTGAATACTATTTGGAATAACTTCAGAATGGAGCCAATGTTAACGTTCGCAAAGAATATGACAAGCCTTCAGTTCTTGATATTGCTGTATTGAAAGACGATCCAGAGCTATTGAAAGTCATCTTGGATGCTGGAGTTGAGGTTAATGCTGTACACACATACATTGGCTCATCCCTTCATTTAGCTGCTTGTTCATGTAAGATTTAAAATCTCTAATATTTAAATATGACACTCATTATAGTTCTGAACAATCAATTTGAAATTATGAAAATGCTTTTGGATCGAGGTGCTGACGTGAATATGCAACATCAGTTTGCAGATGGATCTTCACTCAAAAGTCCCTTTGTGGAATATTTCAAATCACGTGATCGCGTATGCTTTTCATTTTTTTATCCATCAATCTGGATGTTCCCTTGTTTAGGTTGAACCCAAAATCATCAATCTGTTTTTATCTTATGGTGGACGAGTCATCATGAAGTCTCCGATTCACGATAATCGCGGTCAATTAAGAAATGTCCTGAGACTTGCTGCTACACGTGATCAACCAGAGGTAATTACATGAGAATGAATAGAATAAAGAGTTAATGTCCCTTTGTTCTTCAGCTATTGGATAGTATGCTGAGCTTGGCTGAATGTTTCGATAGAGCAGCCATAGATCGTTTGCCATTACCAATGGCCTTAAAAGACGATATAATTCAAACATCAAAGTAAGTTCCCTCTCCATCAATTATACCTTATCATTACTTGATGCTAATTTTCCACGTAAAACTACGTGGAAGTGTACGCTTAAGGCTTCGTTTACGACTCAGGCGCCTACTATTTACCTTTTGATAACTGATTTGGTGTGTATCGAGAGAGTATAGTGCATGATAGCCAGAAGATTAAAAATAAAAAACTTTAATTAATTAATTAAAAATTAATTTTTTTAAGGAATACGCCTAGCTTACAACAAGCTTGCCGATTTGCTTTACGTCAACAGTTGAAGCCATTAACACCAAGCCGCGTTCAAAGCTTACCAATCTCTAATCAGATGAAGCTTTACGTTATGGGACTTATTTGACATTAAAGAATAGATCTGAAAGAAGATCATATCATAGTTCTCATGCTCTCTCCCTCTCTCTCTCTCTCTCTCTCTTCATGTATAAACGTCTTTCATTGTTGAAGAAAAAATATATTTATTTGTAATCAGTCATATTTAAGCTTTATATTATTGTATATACATATTTGGAGTCTCATTTCATTCTATAATAAGCTTATATGCATTGAATCATCTCATACTATCTCATATTCTACTTTCATGCATTAAGCTTCTGCGAATGTCTTTTATGTGTGCGCTTTCAATTACCTCCTCAATCACGAGTTTCATCCCAACCAACACGCGTACGGACCAACTACAATCCATCTGACATCCCTTCACACACATCATCATCATCATCATCATCTCCCCCCTACTATCCATCCAAAAACATATGAAAATATTTTTTTTTTTTTAACAACAAAATGTTTATTTGGATTTTCATAATTATATTTTGATTGTTTTGTTAACTATATCATATAATAGTTTGTTGTTTTCATGAGATTTATGTGTATATATGACTACATGAACAGGTAACATTGCATTCAACACATCTTATTTTCATTTATTTTTTTCCTTTTTTTCCTTATTTGAAATAAAAATGATATTTGAACTTCTTTTAATGTTCTTCCTTACAAGCATACACAGTGAAGAGAGAGAGGGAGAGAGAGGTAGAGAGAGAGAGAGAGAGAGAGGATAAAAACCTTACACACACACACATACATACAACACACACACACACACAGATACATACTCACTCACACATAAACCTGAACTGTTTGAGCTTTGTACTTATTCCTTGTTCAACACAATCTTCAGCCAAAAGGACATTCAGCTGACTCAACTTTTGAATGTTTAAATAGAGGAAAAATCTTTAAAAGATATAATTCTATGAATAAATGGTTCTTTAATGTTCAGAAGACGACTTCTGGATGGATTAGTGTGAGACGATCTTCGGACTAGTAGGAATAACCGTAAGCCTTATACAGAGCTAGTTACCGTAAAGAGAAAGTTTTTGGGGCAATGAACACAAATAACAGAGAAATAGAGAGAGAGGGAGAAAATAGAGAGAGAGAGAGAGTTGAAGAGAGAGAGAGAGAGAAAGAGAGGTTGTGTGTGTTGGAGACTATATGCTTTGAAGCTTTAACCGGTTATTTTTCCCCCTGTTCTTCCATCTTTTCCTTTCTTTTTTTTTTTGCTTAGAAAACGTTAATTGTAACATGGCTGACCATTACTTGGATGGAGGGGCGGTGTGTGTCAACGAAATCATATTTCAACATCAACACTACTGAAAACTCACTTTCTATTTACATTCTCCATATACATATACTGTGAATGGTCATTGTGTATGTATCGCTGGATAGATAAGTAGCCGCTCACATGTGATTTGTTTATTTTATGAATTGAAAAATGAAGGAAATAAAAAAAAAGATAATTTCCTTATTGGATGACACTTATTGCTGTTGTTAATGCTCTCTCTCTCTCTGTTACCATCTCAAGTACGATATAGACATTCTCAGATGTCATTTGCGAACACGTCATTAGCTAAGCTATAAATTAATTTATTTTTAATTTATCAATTACTATATTAAGAAATAATTGTGCACGTGATTCAGTTATAGAGGGTGTATCCTGAACGCCTACACTAGCACAAGCAGCGATGAGCCATAATTGGTAATTCCATATACTATATAATGATTATGAGACTCAAGAAGCTTATACTAGTTGTTACCTTGATAATGATTATTCAAAAAGTATTTTTTGTGTATTGATAATCATTATTATTGTTAAATAGGTTTTACCTTCATTGCTTCCTCTCTTTCTCTCTCTTTCACTTTCATTCGTACTTTCCTTTCAATCTCTCTCTCTCTCTCTCTTTACCTCTCTTTACCTCTCTCCCTTCGAACAATACTTTGTGCAAATGTTAAAACGAGATCGTTTCTCTCTCTTCCTCTTTCTTAAGAAGTTATACTGAATACAAAGATTATATTTTTTAATAATAGTGATATAAGCTGCTATGCAAAGAGAAAATACCCATCAAGGAAAAACATTTTGTGATAAACTGAACACAGTTCAACCTATTCAATTCTTCTATCGTAAAACGATCTGAACGCCAGTCGAAGCAATTTCTTTTTTATTTTTTTTCATCCATTTGTCTTCTCTTTCTTCATCTTCTTCAACTACATCTTCCTTTACCAAAGATTCTTTTTTTGTGTTTCCAAATCACACACACACAGCAGATGAAGCAATTACACTTGGGCCTCAAAGGCTCAACTGATCTGTCTTCTCTTATCTTTTTAATCTTTTATCTTTTTATAACATTCAAATACATATATCATTTCTTGCTCCAGTATTCTAGTTCACTTTGCAACATCCTTAATGCTGTTTTGACTGCTCGACCAATGTATAGAAAGGAAAAGGAAAGGGGGCTGGGGGGGGGAGACGGGAGAAAGGCAGATAGAGAGGAAAACGATCAAGCTGGACTCTCGTCAAACTGCCCTGGATTTCCTTATATAGACATACACACACAAATAATCTTTTATTCTCTATCCACAAAGGACAAGGTCATACGGATCACTTTTCTTCAATTTTTGATGTTTGATGGCAGAAATGCCGTTGAACCGCATACTTCAATGCCCTGAGGCTAACACGAGTTGAACTCTTAACCTCACCATCGTGTTGAAAGAGATTTGAACATTTTCTTTTTGTGTTGTATTTATTTTATATTCTTTGATGTGATTACGTCCTATCATTCTTGACCAACTGTCCACGACTTGAAGAAGCAGCGTTCAAGATTCATAGAAACCCAGTACCTCAATTGTAATAATGATTTGTAACCTATCATCAGAGGATGCTATCATGCCATCTTTGGCTTTTGATCAGTTTCAATGCATTTTTTATTGCATCTCAGCCCATATATTCTTCAAAAACTATTTTATTATTCTCTTGCACTAGATATGTATTTTCCTCAATTAGTGATAAGCTTCTAACCAGAGAATCATCCAGACAATCAATATCTATCTTATGCATGAAGCATACTATCGTCCGATGCCTTTTGCTCAATTTTGAGGGAAAAAATGAAAAAAATAGAGAGAGAGAGAATGGAGAAGATAAGTAGTCTGGCGGCTGTCATGATACACTGGAAAAGCCAAATCTGCATTTGATAGTGTGTTGTTCGAGCTCTGCTTGCACTCAAACACTTTACACGATCATTTTTAATTTTATTTTTACAAAAATTTTTTTTCTTCTTATTTATTTTCATTGTATTTGATTGTGTTTTAATGCTAGCAAGCAGATGCAATTAGCTTTGTGATTTCCCAGTTGAGTTAGATATTTGAGCTTTGAGACATAGTTAGTATAGTTACTAGTAAATGGAGAAAGGGGAAGAACGTTGCGTTCTATAAGACATTGCTTGCTTTTCCTTATTTTTAATAGATATTTACGGAAATTATGGCTAAATATGCTTGAGTTGACAACAATTACATATTTACATAGCATTTTCACATTCAACAATAGCAATGATTATGAGAGAGACACACAGGTGATGATGAATGCATTATATGGATATTGATTGATTTGTTGTATAGTTATGTTATAGCTTCCGCTAAGAGCCTAAGCTGCAATGGCTACTCGTCTTTGAGGGCAAGTGTTTCCACCTGACACAATCATCAGCTGGACAAGAGAATTGAGAAAGTAGAAATTAGCTTTAGCTTGAATACATTCTACATATCGTGTAGAGCAAATAAACGTCTCTCTATACGATTATTGCATATGCAAATGACGACGTGGAATATTTGCGTGGAATTTCACGTTATAATCCATCTTGAAAATTGACGGAAGCTGTAGAGCGGTTGCATATTCTTTACGTTCTCTCTTCATAATATAGTTTTGATTTCGTTAGTGTGCGAAGAAACTCTCTTCCTTGTTTCTTCTAACCATGTCGCAATCATTCTTTCACTCATTCTCTTCTTATGTCTTTACTCCCTCCATAACTCTTCTGTTATCGCTTTCTCTCTCTCTTTAATGCATCTCCCTCGTTATTTATTTCTCTGAAATTGAAAAGAGAATGACGAGATCTTTTTCTGCATAGATCAGTCAGTTTTTCCGACATTCTCTGGAGATTGAAAATTCAGCAATACAACATGTAATGTCCCTCCTATTCCCATATGTCACAAGTGTTTGACCAAATCAAACTTTATTCAATCTGAAGCTGTTTAAAGTTTTAAACTAAAAGTTACAACAGTTGAAGAAGTATGAGATGATGTGAATTTCATGTCATATCTCTCTTTTACACATTATCATATAGTTAACTATCTGATAGCGCATTAACTATACGGTTCCATTTCTCACTTATCTCTATAATGCAATTGGTTCAAGCGAAAAAATATTTTTATTTTTATATATTCATAACCTTTTAACAGGTAGTCATTCTCTCATCTCTCATGTCTTCTCTCTCTCTCTCTGTTTCGTTTTCTCGCCTCTCTTCGTCATCTTCGTTTTTTCTCAACACTCCCATCTCCCCCCTCCCCTCTATCCTCCTTTTGTTCATTCAACTTTCTCTCTCTCTCAGAAGATAAGCTCAAAATTTTGTTTTCTTAACACTCGTAGAACGTTGAATCACAACTGTCATTCCGTTCTGAAGCCAGAGGTCATGGTCAATCAAAACAAATCATCAGCAAAAGCTCTGTACAATCGCTTTACGGTTTGTTGTTCTCTTCAAGATGAGTATAGAGTTAGCTCATTCTCACTCAATACCCTTCTTCATTTTAATTCCTTTTATCATTTCTCTCTCTCTATCTCTCTCTCTCCCTTTCAGTTCATCAATTCTCTCCATCTGATCTCTCTTTATCTTTCTCTCTCAAATTCTTTTTTTTGTTCCTCATTTTTTTTCATTTTCTTCTTCTTCTTTTCGCCATTTCGTTTTGTTCCAAATCTCTTTGGTCAATTGAAGGTATGACGTGCCTAGGCTAGCAGAATGGACGAAAGACTTTAAGAAAAAAAGCAATTGCAATAGAAGAGATGAGGTAGATGAGGACTAAGAACGGAAGAACAGTTTCATGCTTCGAGCAAACAATGATGATGACGATCATCATTTCCCTTACAACCTTTCTTTTTATCTGCTTCTCTCTCAATCACATTGTCCTCCTATACTCTCTCTTCTATTCTCTCTATCTGTCTATCCCTCTATAGGGTCTCTTTCACACTTTTTTTATTCTCATCTATTGAAATCTATCCCTCCCCTCTCTTCCATATGAATAAAATCAATCCATTATACATTTCCATTGCGATATTCTGAATATGTTGACGACATCGACAAACTGACCATCTGAGTATTCTCAATTTATTCTGTACTTTCATTATTTGCTTCTACAAGTTTCTGTTAAGATGAAAAACAACAGAACAGTAATATCCACTTCCGTCTCACAAAAGTACTCGACAAGATTGTCTTGTGAGCCATTATATTCCTCATCTCCAATTCCCTTGACTCTCATCAAACCCTTTTTGAACTTATTTTTTCCAATTCCCTAACTATATCATTATCAATGTGATAAACAATCATATCATCTGCCACGAGGCTACCCCCCCCCTCTCTATTCTTTGCCCCGCTCACCCATTTACACTCTACCCATCTCACCTCCCCCCTTTCCCTTATTACCCTTTCCCCCACTATCATACAAATTTCTTTTCATTTTTTTCTTTTCCACCCCCAAATGAAACATTTGCTTTATTCCTTTAGCAGCTTTTGCAATCCTTCTAGTTTTCTTCTGACAACGAGTACAACAACGACGACGACGTTGCATTTCCAGTCAGCACACGTCTTTGGCATTATCTCTCATATCTCTTTCTCAACTTCACTACTTCCTCTCATTATTCTTCTTTTTTTTTCTCCTTCTTTGATAGCTTTTCGTTCTTCCGCTTTTGGCTTAAATCACCCGTTCAAATCAAACAGAAGTCTTTTCTCTCCAATTACGTCATTTTATCAGCTTTTCATATAATTTTTGTTTCCAAAAACTGTCCGTGTTGTCGTTAATGCTGTCGTCGGTTCTTTTCCGCTTTACAAATCCGGAAGATGTGATCCGGTTCCTGACCACCAGCACCGTACGCACACACACAGAAAACGGAGAAGAAGAAGAAGAAGTAGACAAAAAAAAAGTTTGTGGGCGTGACATATTCTGAAGAAGGAGCACTGACGATGAAGTCTCTTCGGAATCTATTCTTCTCATATTCCTACTCCACACGTCGTTGTTCACAAGCGACTCCTTATGAATAGCCTTAAAGAGCGAAAAATATTTTTATTTTGTTGATTATAATAATACTTTCTATATACTGAATATGAACATGACTTCTCTTTCTCTCTTCTTATTCAGTCAAATACCTCATTCACAGAGATTGACTTTGATGAAGAAGTAGTACTCTTCATACATGCACCGATTGTCATCCTTCCTTATGTTATTCCGGTATGGAATATGTTCCGTATAAGGTATTAGGTGAAAGCTTTTTGAATAAAACCGGTCGATGAACACAACAACGACCACCCTCGTTACCCCCAATCTGTCAATTTCGAAAAGAAAAGAACATTTCTGCTTAACAATTTCTTATTCTGAGGTTCAGTGGTCAATAACGATAATCTAATCGATTATATAATCTTCATAACTATTGACGATTCTCGTGCTTTTGCATCTTCATCTTCATTATACTGGCCTTGGGCTTCTCCTTTTTCTTTTCTCATCATCCGCTGTGTTGCAGCAATACTTATTGAATTGATTTATAACAATGCGTTTGTCTGTCTTTCAACAAGCATTTCTTAATTCTCTCCTGTGTATGTTAAACTATTCCTCCTCATTCTCTTCTAAAGAGATATTCTGAATAATTTCTCAAATTTCCTTCGTTTATGTTATAAGGATGAGCATTCTTCATCCCGTCACCACCTCACCCGCCCCAGCCTCTCCTTTCGTTCATCCATCTACTACCCCCTCTTCTTTCCTTCTCCTTCAATACTGCACCCCAATACAACCACTGCACTCAGTATTCGTAAATACTACATTATAAATCATATAATCTATAACATATAGTTAAAAATAAAAGTAGATAGTTAACTGATCGTTGTTCTATCATAATTATCACTTTTGTTACTTGGTTTAGAAGGTGAAAGTGTAAAAATTGACATTATGACGACTTTAGAAAGTATTCCGGTTCTGTTCCACCAAATCTCTCTCTCTCTCTCTCTTTTTCTCTCTCTCATTGAGCTCTTTATAAACCTTCATTCTCTCTCTCTCTCTCTATTTTTCTCTCTTTCTATTTCTCTCTACCTTTCCTGTATATCAATAGTCCTCCTCCTCTTCTCTTCAACCCCCCCCCACCCATTCTCTCCATTACCAGATTGGAATGGCAATTCTCGTTGAGATAATTGTCAAATAATTATTTTCATCAATCAAATCATGTCCTCATAGTACTTTCATGATTATGTGGATAGTGTTCTTATCATATAAATATTTATTTTGTCAAAGATATATATTCAAAACCCCATTTTGCTTTCAATCAAAAGACAAGCAAAAACTTTCCAGTTTCCTGTAATTCGATGATAACGTCTCTTGTCGTCAAACATCATCTGAATCTTTCTCCCTTTCATCTTCATTTCGTCCTCAAAAAATTTAAAAACAACATCACAACATCTTCGTTGTCATCTTCATTTACTTCTCCTTTTATGTCAATTTCAATCTTTCTTTCGTTTTTTGTCATCGCCTCCTCACTAGCCACCAGTGAAAAAAAAAGTTGAAGCTCAGCTGTTGAACATTAAGCAAATTCTTTTTGTTCTATCTAAACAGAACACAATAGCCTCCGGCATTCCACATGTTATTGCTCTGTTTTCGTACAAAACTTTTTTTTCTTTTCCATATTTCATTTTCATCTTTGTCTAAACATGGTTTAGATGTCATTCTGACAGTGATCATCTTCTCTCTCTTTCTCTCACATACTGTCAGCTCTCTCACTCTCTCACACTTACTATTACCATTAATTAGAATTTCACGTTAAAATGACATACGTGAGAATCTACGTGACCTAAATTCATTTTATAAGTTTCTCAACGTATTGAGCGGTTGTTCTTCATCTCCAATTTATTTTTTTTTCTTTTTTCTTTTATAACTCTGTTTAGAGTTTTTTATTTTTATTTTTTTGCTATCTTCCCTCAACGTTCTCAAAGTTGTTTTGTTTTCATTAACTTAGTGACCGGCTGACTCCATACAAGTTTGTTTAAGGAATCGAAAAAAACTAAAAAAGACTATTCCTTATATAGGAAGGGAAAATCTTCAGAGGAGAATACGAAGAAGAAGAAGAAGAAGAAGTTCAATCTTTGCTCTTCTTCTGGAACCTCCCACAAAACCATATTTCTCTATCTATCTATTTCTCTCTCTCTTTATATCTTTCTCTCTCTGTATCTTTCTCTTTATATACCTCTTTCTCTACATATCTCTCTCTCCGTTTCTATCTCTTAATATCTTTTACTCTTTTTTCGGTTCTCTTTTTTAGTATTCCTCTATCTATACTCTTACAACTGCTTCTTCATCCATTTTCATTCAAAAATCGATGAAAGAGTTGAAGCAAGCATTATATTCCATTTATGGATCATTTGTTACTTTTTTTTCTTTTTCTTTTCTTTATTTTTTTCATATCAATATTCAATTTGAATCTTCGTCGTTTGCAAAGGTGTTCGTTCTCATTTTGACATCTCTCAATCATCATCATCTACATCTTCATCAAAACCCACTCTTCTATCTTTCATATATTCGTTTGGTTAAAGCAATTTCTTCAATCTTCATCATCTTATTCTTCTTCATCTTATTCTTCCCAAATTATTGGCCTTTAACGAATCGGAAGCCGTCGTCTTCAGCATCTCTATCGATTTTCGCGCCTCTGTCCCTGATGATGATCTGTTTGACCCTGATGATGTTCGGTAACCGCCTGTATCGCCCCGGACGTCCAAGACTTCAGGCGCCGTCGTCGTCGTCGTCAACTTCGCAGTCCATATGGACTCACCGCCGCCCTGCAATCTGTTGCCCTCATTCTACCATTCTTTAACTATTTTTTTTTGTCAAAATACTTTAACCATATTACTATACATGGTTTCTTCTTCTTTTAAAAAAAATGAAAGAAGGAAACGATTAATTAGTTCAAATGAATGACGGGCGTTTCCTCTTTCAGATCGTCTTCATATTGCTATTGCCGTCCGTCTTTGTCCATTCTTAAATTTCATTTTGTATTTATTTTTTCATAAAAAAACATCCCAAAAATCTTCTCTCTACTCCTCTTTTCATTTCATATTTTTCCACTTTGAAACCTTTTTTTCGTCTCTTCCGAACCTCCTCTCTCCCTCACTATGCGTATGAGTATGGTTGTGAGAAGAAGGAGGAACAGCTCGGCTGCTCTTGTTAACACTTTTTCTTATTTTTGTTGTTTTTTTTTCATAAACTAGATTCATACCAATATATGTTTTCAGAGTATCAATGGCTCCCCGTGAAGATTCCCCGTATACCATCTTGGGTATTCCAAACAACTCTGATGATCAAGCAATTAAGAAAGCGTAAGTTTGTCTTCCATTCAGTCGTTTCAATTATTTTATTGACAAACAGTTTATTTACAATGAAAAACCAGAAATTTCCATTTTTTTTCCTTTTTTGATTTTCTCTCTTCGTTCTGTCTTTATCTCTCTCTCTCTCTCTTCATCTCTATATGCTGCTGCTGCCACAGTCACATCTTGAACCTTCATTGAATCATCTTTCAAATTGACTTTACCAGTCACCTTTGTCAGATATTTTTAATTTCTTTATACTCATACAACATATTTATTTGAAAACTAGAAACTAACAAAGAATCAAAAAATAAATCCGGATAAGGAAGAAGACAAACGAAAGAGAGAAAGTGTTGTGAGAGGGAGACAGATAGAGATAGATAGAGAGACAATGAAGAGAGTTGAGTGAGATGAAGAGCGCAAAAGGAGAAATAGAGAGATTAGGGGGAGTAGGGAGCTGAAAGGAGAGAGGGTGAAGCATTGCATGTTTTTTTCAGCTATTTGTAAACAAACAATGAACAATCAGTTACAGTTGAATGTTCAAATCAAATATCTGATAGACGTTCTGTTTCCCTCAAATATCGCCACACAACATCATATCAACAGAATGAATATGCACGAAATACCTATTGAGCTTCATTCTAATCTTCATTCTTCTGTTCGGCTATCCAACAACAGACAGACAGACAAAGGCGAACAGTTTTTTTCTGACTTCAACTGTCTTAGCTTCTCTTTCTCAATGCAAAAGCTTAAAACTTAATGGCAAATGGTTGATGTGATTGATGATTGCAAAAAGTGGGCTTAACAATCGTCTTTTAATTTGTTATTTCAATAGAGAGAGAAAGAGAGAGAGAGAGAGGGGGAGAGGAGAGGGGGATTGTGTTTGTTAGAAGTATTTCATAGATTCTCTTCCATGTTGCTATTCTTCATTTTTCTGAAGGGCTTAACACTTTTATATTATTTTGTAAACTCTTCATTTGAATAAGAGGGAAAACTAAAAGAGAAATATGAATAGAGAGACTGAGAGAGAGAGAGAGATGAGAGAGGCGCCCTCCTATCCTATCAGTCGGTATAGACGAACGAGTGCATAGCTAGTTTTCCTGACTTTTTGCTTGTCCTTTTCTCTCAGTTATTTGTCTCTCAGAATCAAGTCTTCTCTATAATTTTGACGCACGTCAGAGACTATTTGAATATGTGAGAATGAGAATTCCAGTTTTTTTTCGTGTTCTGAGCTTTTCGTCAGCTTAAATGTTTTCGGTTAGTTAAGAGTAAAAGTAAAAGTGGAATAAGTTCAAATAGATGAGGCAGAAGTCCGTCCGACTGAAGTGATTTGTTGTCTTTTGATTCCTCTTCATCATCATCGCCTTTTGTCAAAACCCAAGAAATTACCGGTTTGATGAACAGACAGATGCATCGACCTTGAATCCAAGACAAAATGATCATTTGGTAGGAAGGCAAACTCTTCACCTTTTGCGAAATAAAAAAAAACCAAAAAACAAAAAGAAACAACCGTTCTTGAACAAGTACATCACCGTCAATGACCTTCTGTTGCAAAAAGGGGGGGATGAAGGAATGAAATGGAAATTTGAGAAAGTTCACGTGAATCAGTCACGTACTATACGTGATGACATCGAAATGCAAATATGAAGAGAATAAGAGGGAAACGAAATTGTATTAGAATATTCATTTCAGGTATCGTAAGTTGGCATTGAAATGGCATCCAGACAAACATACGGAAGAGAAAGATAAAGAAGCAGCAGAAAAGAAGTTTAAGAAGATTGCTCAAGCATATGAGATTTTATCAGATGGTAAGTACAGTTGAATACATACAAAAAGATATTTATACAAGATAGCATTGCTCCCAAGTTTATAATAGATTTCGCATGTTTATCATTCCAAACACTTCAGTATGGGATTTTGATGAGAAAAAAAAACCTTTTTCGAAATATTTGCCTCGAAAACCTATACCTCTCTGTCCATGTAGAGATGTGATGCTATATGAAAAGGGATGCGCGCGATAGAGAAGTAGCTTGAGCTAAGAGCTAAGATCATTCCGCCGTTGCTCTTCGAGCACAGACATTCTATCGCTCCGCAGAACTTTCCAATGACATCATTCTTATCCTGAATAAGCCATTGTTCTAAAATTGCGGTGAACAGTCAGAGAAACACAAACAGAAATCTTCTGTTTTTCCATCTAAGTCGATGCTTCCGTATTCCGGCCTAATAACCGGTCCGGTAAATAATACAAAAGAAAATATTTCTTTTTTCGGTATTCTTCAGAAGCAGAAGAGCAAATGACGAAATATGTTTTTCTTGTTTAGTCATCTGAAACCATTTTTCTTTTCTTCTGGGACGCTTCAAAATGCATTTTAAAAACTTTCAATCAAATAAGGTCATTTGTCAGGATGCATTTGCATAAAGTGAAATTACAACAGGTTAAGGCTCATTTCAACTTATATCCACACGTGCATGAACAACTATGCAAATTAGTAGTTTTGGTTTGAAAATGACCGAAAATGGCCTTGTTTGTATATCCAAAGTCATATGTCCAACAGCATCTGGCTGTTAGCCTTCTGCTCACATAACAGATGATAAGATTTCATCAAATCAATCACAAATCACAAATATTCAAAAGATAACAACAGCTATTTGTCTATATAACATATAGTTATTTATATTTTTCAGCTAAGAAACGTCAAGATTTCGACAGATCTCAAAACCCCACAGCGTTTGCCCGAACACGACGACCAGGAATGCCTCGGGGATTCGGACATCACGAAGATTTTTTTCGTTCCCCATTCGATATTTTCAAGGAGTTCTTCGGAAACCGTGATCCATTTCAGGTATCACAATTGTAATGAGATTGAAAAAATTAAATTCTACCTTTAGGATGTATTCTTCGATGATGCCTTCAAATATAAGGAGTCGCCATTCAAGGGTAAGCTTCATCTCAGCTCAAACTCAAATCTATTTCTATTGTCTTTGTAGTTCACCGGTTTCCATCAAGCCGAGTACACATATTTTATGACAAGAAGCAGCCCAAGGATGAGAAGGACTGGTAAGATACATATTCCTTTACAAACTTACAGAAACATTGATTTTCAGCAAATTTTCGACAGTAATCCGCTTTACATCATCCAAAGATGGTAAAACTCCCCTTGTACGAAAGACATCTACAACAACCCGAATTGTGGATGGAAAACAAGTTGTCACGAAGAAAACCGAGAATGAAGATGAAGAAATCGTTGAAGTACAAATCATTTCCTGAAATATTTTTTAACAAAGTAATTTTTCCAGATTTTGGAAGACGGCCAACTCAAGTCAAGGACAGTTCATAATGTGGCTGTTGAAAGTAATTAAACGAAATCAAAAGGGTCATACATCTTATCTCTTTTTGTCTTCTGTATATATATACCACAGTTTATTTAATTTTGTATTTAATTTAATTTTATAATTAGGAGAATATACTGAGAAACTGATGAACAACTGATTTTCTCTTTCGTAATGAGTCAATTGGAGATATCTTTTTGATTTAATCGAAATATCACGTTCAATGCATTCCCCATCCATTTCGAATTGTACTTCATTTGTCTTTTTCTGTTGCTTCTTCTTCTTCTTCTTCTTCTTCTTCTTCTTCTTACCTCATACTGCTTTCTGTTTCGGAACCTCATATCCGATCTTCTCTATTCAATGACAACTAAAGACACGAAAGGAGAGGTGATTGAAGAAAAAATTATTGAATAAGATGAATTATCATCTGCATTTAATGAAAAGCTTAACAACCTTTTCATCCCAATTCTCAGCTTTACTATGCTTCATCTGAAGAAATTTTTTCTTCTCCTCTACTCAATAACAGAGTCATGTTTAAGCTTCGACCATCGATGCGACAATTCAATTTAAATTGACAATTTTTGAACAAAAAAAAATGCCATTTAGCAGAAGGCATGGTGTCCTACTGTCTTTTCTTGTCCAAACTCTCCTCAGCTTGAAAATAGTATTAAATCTCTTAGTTTATTAGTTTTTTTTTTCTTTACACAATTTTTAGGCTAGGCTCTTCATCCACTTTGGACTACTTTTTTTTATTCAAATCTTATTGCATTTCGTTTCCAAGATAATGTTCTTTCACGCTTTGAGTGCTTTGATGAATGTGTTTTTGTAATTTCCATATTGAAAATATAAATCTTAGTCTTAAGCTTTTTCTTCTCAATTTTCCATTTCACACTGAAAACAACTTTCAACACAGGTTCAAGTCATCTGCCGGTCATCAGGGGTAATTTGAAACGCAACCGCATCGCAAGTCTTGAGCACGAGAAATGAACTTGTGGCAATGAAGACTCATGATTATTGATTTTTAGGAAAGTTACTAGATATGCAACAACTCTCTAATCCTATTATGCCACGTATCTTATAAACATATTCATATATACTATTACTGGTCAGTCAATCAATCAATACTTCTGTTTTCGAACACGTAAGTCAATGTAATCACCCCGTCTAAACTTTATCTAGAATTCTCATTTTGCATCAAACGTTCTTGATCTTTTTTCCATGAAAAATATTTTATATCAGGATTTTTACAAAATGACTTCATCAAAAATGTTTGTGATATGGAATGATTCACAGACAATCTCTGTAAACTGTTTTAATTGGAATCTTGCCATACATCATGCTGTTCATGAGACTAGAGTCTCGAAAATAAAAATAAGTGTAATGAAACTGAAACTAATGAAGAAAAAAAACATAAGAAAGAGAGACCATGTGGGAATTTCGTTCATTTGAACTTCAATTACGATTGTTTCGAAATGTGATTTCTACATACATCAACATACATAATATTATCTTAGTTTTAAATTAGTTTCTTTCTATTAATTGTAAATATTGTTCGGATTAAAGTAGGTAAAGCCCTATTGGATTAAATGTGGTGATGACGCCGTGTTGTGTAAACCACACTGCAGTTGTACGTATTTCCATTAATGAACGAAGCAATCGGCTTCTATTTGCTTCCATTTTGCTTTATTATCATCAATTCGTCGTTATTCATTGAATTTAATTATATAATTAATTATTATTGTATTCAGTAACTTAGGAAATGGTTACAAAAGCTAAGAAAAAGGGTAATAAAAGATCAATATCACCACCGCCTGCACAGAAAGCTAAACACATCGATAGTTCTGTGAAAAATGGAGGGTGAGTTCGTCTTCACTATACATTATATTTATGAATTAAATTGTTTTAGACAGAAGAAATCCCCTGGAAAAGGATTGAAACCGTCTCCTTCTGTTAATACTTTAAATCGAATAGAAAGAGATAATATTGTGTTATGGAAGCGTCCATTCACAACAACTTATTATGCTTTAATGGAAATTTTCCATTTATCTTTCGAGTTCCTCCAAAGGTAACGCACATGCTCATGTAGTTCGATTCATTTGGCCTTTTCAGTCTTTTACATCATAAGTTCATTCTGTTTTTATTATCTGTTATATCCGCTTCATTCTATTATGCTTACATCACCCCCGGATCTCATCAAGAGTTCATCATAGCTGCAGGTTTGCGTTTTCAACTTTTTTTTTCTTTTACTTTTAATTTTTTCAGAAAAATCACTTGCATGGTGGTCTTGGTGGGTGTTGCTGGGAGTTCTTTCCTCTATAGGACTTGGATCCGGGCTTCACACCTTTTTAATTTATTTGGTGAGTCTGTTCTTATCACAGCAGTTTCAGCTTTCTTTAAGGGTCCTCATATTGCTGCTGTTACGTTGGCCGCATACGAATGCAATTCTCTTGATTTCCCTGAGCCTCCCTATCCTGAAAGGTTAACCATACATGATTTATGTTTTTTTGAGCTTTGTTGTTTCAGCATTGTTTGTCCCTCGGAGAAGCCTTCATCGAAGCTTATAGTGGGATTATGGGATATCGTTTCAAAAGTGATTGATTTCTTTTCATGCTAATGTTTATTTGTGTTGTTTAAGGTCAGAGTTGAATCATTCTTATGGGGCGCAGGTACTGCCATCGGAGAGCTTCCACCTTACTTCATGGCCCGAGCTGCCAGGTTTGTGTGAAATGAAACATCTTCAGTTGTTCTTTTTTTCAGACTTAGTGGCAACGAACCTGAAGATGAAGAGTATCAAGAGTTCCTAGAATTGATGAACTCGGATAAGTCAAAATCCAAGGACATGGTTGGTGCTAAGAAAGAGACTCTTAATGAAAACGTTTTCTACAGAGTTTGTTGGATCGCGGAAAAGCTTATGCTGAAAAGTTCATTTCGAAAGTTGGATTCCCAGGCATTCTTCTGTTTGCTTCCATCCCCAACCCCTTGTTCGACTTAGCAGGTATTTATTCTGAGGAGTATCGTTAATCACATTGTTATAGGAATTACCTGCGGTCATTTCCTTGTACCTTTCTGGTCGTTCTTCGGAGCAACCCTAATTGGAAAAGCTTTAATAAAAATGCACGTGCAGGTTAGTATAGTCGAATGTAGGGAGGAAGTAGAAGCTGAATCATTGTTTTTCAGATGCTTTTTGTGATAATCGCCTTTAGTGAGCACCATGTGGATAACGTTGTGAATTTGTTAGCGCAAGTCCCAGTAGTGGGAGAATCCATAAGACAGCCAATCAAGGAGCTTTTAATTCGTCAAAAGAATTCTTTGCATAGAGCACCAGGAACTCATGTTGAGCAAGTGAGTGATAACCAAGACATGAGGTTGTATATTTACTATTTTCAGGAAACTACTTGGTTGCAGTCAGCTCTTTCTTTAATCGTTACATCGATGATTCTAATTTTCCTGCTCTCAATATTTAATTCTTTAGCTCAACGCTATCATAAGCGAATCTGCTCAAAAAACTAATATACTACGTTACTACTATATCTTTCTCTGTGTTCTGCACGCACATTCCTTGTATGGTTAGTTTTTCAGTGTTTCATCTTTTTTTTTTAAGTTTCTGGATTTCTATGTAGAATATGCTTAATAAACATTTTATTTTTATTCCAAATCTTTCATTCGCAAGTCTGCAAATCTTGAAAGCTTCGCACAGAAAAGAAACTGAATGAATCACATGTGGAAAAAGAGCTTACATAAGCCTTCTATAGGCTTTGTACTTTCGCAGACTTCTCATACTTCTATGTACGAGAGTTATGCAGTTTGCGGATCAAATAAGCATTACTTTCTTCTTTTCTTTATGCTTTCTTTCCATAAGTGACAGCATGGTCTTAAAAGAAGTGTTGTGTTCTATGATGACGTCATTACTATTGGAAGCTCTTAAACATCTTCAGAATGATGGCTATTCATCAAAAACGAGTGATGGGATTATGAATCTTACCGTAGGCCTCTTCAAAGCCCAGAAGGCGGAGTTTTCTTCCCCTAAATCCATGCTCTGCTAGAGTTTCACCTCAGATTTTCGTCTCGTCCGCCATGGCAAGCGGCAAAGACTTGGAGAAACTCGTCGCTACCGGTATTTCATTATTTTTTTCACTTCTTTTCAAAAAGTTTTATCTCATTTAGACATTCTTCCACAAAACGATAATTGGGAAGGTACTGATGCTTTCCTCCGCAGTATAGTAGATGTATATAAGCGAGCTCTCAATTTATTACAGTCAGTCCTTTCAGATACTTCTGAAGTATATCAAAGATGAAAATGAGCGAGACACGAAGATTCTTGAATTTCATCATCCTGGTGAAATGCAAGAGTTAATCGATTTAGAAATCCCTTCTAAGGCTGAGCCTCTATCTGAACTGATAAAGGTGAATAAGTATGAATATTTATTACTTTCATTCTTATCGTCATTAAATATCGTCGGATCTTATCTCTGTGTCAGCAACGTCAATGTCTATTTCATAACCACAACGAAAGAAATCAAAACATTTCTCCTAAGATTCATTCAACCCTCAGGCATCTCCAGTCTAGCTATCGGCAATGAAAAATGCGGAGAGGCTTAGTGGGGATGGGTAAATTGATGGATGAATTGTCTTAAAATGAAGATATTTGAAAAGAATTGAATGAAGATGGCCTTATTTGTATACTTATTAAAGCATCTCGAGTGCTTCAATACACGAAAGAGTTTTCCGATATTAACATTTTGATACTTCAGAGTTGCGAAGATGTGCTTCGTCTTGGTGTTCGTACAGGTCATCCACGCTTCTTCAACCAAGTAAGAGAGAATGAATAGGGTGGAGCAAGTGATCATTGTAGATATCATGTGGATTGGATTTGGTCTCCATGGCTGGGGAATGGTTAACGGCTACAGCCAATACGAATATGTAGGATGCCTAGGAATATCTTAATAGAAATTTAGCCTTACAGGTTTACTTATGAGATTGCCCCAGTATTCATTCTCATGGAAAAAGCTGTTATGAGGAGAATGTGGGAAGCAATTGGTTGGGACGTAGAAAAAGCTGATGGGATATTCGCTCCCGGTACTGGAAGATTGTAATTTTGAAGATATCAAGATCCCTTTTAGGGGGTGCAATTGCCAATTTGTACGCTTTAAATGCAGCCCGCCATCATCTTTTCCCTCGTGCTAAACATTTGGGGAACAAGGATGTTCCAGTACTCTGTGCTTTCACAAGTGAAGATGTGGGATTGGAAAAAAAGAAAAAAACTCAAGAGAAAACTCTTTTCAGAGTCATTACTCGATCAAGAGTGCTGCAGCAGTGTGTGGAATAGGTACTGACTATTGCTTCAATATTCCCACTGATTCGAGCGGGCGAATGATTCCTGAAGCTTTGGAACAGAAGATTATCCAATGCAAGAAGGAAGGTATGAGGGACTCTCTTCTTGAAAAAACTGTAACAGCAATGTTCGATAGGTATGTCACCACTGTTTGTCTGTTGTACAGCTGGAACTACCGTATACGGCGCTTGGGATCCAATCGAAAAAATCGCGGATATAGCCGAAAGACATCGCATCTGGCTACATGTTGATGCTGCATGGGGAGGCGGTGTTTTGTTGTCTCCAGAATACCGTTACAAATTGAGCGGTATTGAAAGAGCTGACAGTGTAACATGGAACCCCCATAAGCTGATGGGAGCGGTTTTACAATGCTCAGCATGTTTATTCAAACGAGATGTATGAAAAAATCATATTACGCCAATTGATAATTATATTTGAGGGCCTACTATTCCAATGTAATCAAATGTCAGCCGACTACCTGTTTATGCAAGATAAACCGTACGACGTAAGCTTCGACACTGGGGACAAAGCTATCCAATGTGGGAGACATAATGATGTTTTCAAGCTGTGGTTAATGTGGAAAAGCAAAGTTAATTCAGTCATAAAAGCGTCTTATAATGTTAATGATTGTAGGGAATGGAAGGTTACAGACTTCAAATTAACCGTCTAATGGATCTCACTTCGTACTTTACTCAGCGCTTACGTGATACCGAGGGTTATGAACTTGTTGTCGATCCGGTAAGAAGTTCTCTCTCTCTCAATATACTGTTCAAAACAATTTTTCAGCCAGAGTTCTTGAATATCTGCTTTTGGTACGTTCCAAAGAGTATTCGACATTTGGAACCAGCTGAGAAGAAAGCTCGTCTTGAGAAGGTGAGAACAGGAGTACTGTATGAGTGAATCACAAACATCAATAATCTCAGATAGCACCGAAAATCAAAGCCAAGATGATGGAAAAAGGAACTACTATGGTTGGATATCAGCCAGATAAACAGCGACCAAACTTCTTCCGAATGATAATTTCGAACCAAGCAATCACAAAGAAAGATTTGGATTTCTTGATCGAAGAAATAGTTGCCATTGGAGAAACCCTCTAAACCGCAAACCACAAACCACAGTCACATTCAGCTCTGCATAATACGTCAGCATGCTTTTATCAAACTTTTAGCACTTTATACTTTATTAATACGTACTAAACTTAGATAGAAGATGACACTCTTTGTTCGATATTTGATCAATTGCTTAATTATGACTCCAATACATTAAATATTATTAATACAAACTAAAAAGTTAGATGTTTCCTTTCTCCCTCAGACGTTGTCGGCAAAACTGTAGAACTGCTGTCATGGTTAAGTTCTTCTCAGAGAGTATTCGTGAAAACCGTGCTTCAGCACCTGGCTCAATCTTATATACTAACATTGGATCTTGAACTGAAATAAAAAAAAAATATTTTTTTTTATAAAAGAATAAGAACAGACATAAGACGCGAGTGAAGATTTCTGCTTTCTGAGCATTCCAAAAATCTTTATTTACAAGAGAAGTTGAACTATACTGAAACAGATATAATGTAAGAGACTTGATACAGCAAACTCACATTCGGATCTCCTCTCTCTACTCCCCAAACAGTTGCGAACCGCCGACGGTCAGGAATTGTAAATTGTATAAAATTATTAGAAGGAGATCCTGATACATGGATTAGATGTTCATAACGACTATCCAGCAACAGCTCCAGAATGAATTCATGGAACTTTTTCAATGTTGCATCTATAAAACAAATATGATTGTTATAAAAGAGAGTTTTCGTGCTGATTACCTCTTCTTCTCCTCTTCCTACTCAGATCAGCCGTAAGGAAGCTATCATTGTTAGTACCTAGAGTCAACAGTTAATGAGTGATTACACAATATGACAAACTTGAATCATATTCACTTTTGATGTTTTTATCTGACTGTTCGTGACACATCACGTCCTGATCATTATTATAGATGTCGACTGTGAATTAGATAAGATGTTGTAATTAGAATAACTTCGATAGACTCCCTACCTAATTTCTCCCGGCCGTAAACACCACCTGAAGGATTATCAGTTACTCTGCATTGTTTTTCCGGCTGATCAAACAAAGGCTCCCCGACTAGACCGCAACCCGCAACAGTCACCTCATCATAGTCAGTTTGTGGTTTCACATTCGATAAGGAAAGATCGACAAACACAGGGCTTGTAGGTGCCTTATGTTCTGGTCCTTGGCTTTCCCTGATGGAATCTAGACAAGCACAATTTGTACTGTTCTGGTTTGCACAGTCTGATAACTGGAAAAGATCATCTGTTATCTTGTAAGGCTTCATTTGATGCATAGCCTGAAGAACTGAATTCATATATGAACTGTTATGTAACAAACCAATATAGCTAAGATCTCCCCATATTCTTGTTCTGATTTGCATTCAAATACAAAGTAAGATTTATCCATTTAATGGTGTTAGTATAAATCTGAAAGCATCACGACCCTCACACTATACATTGAATATCATTCAAACTAACCAATTTAACAGCTTGTCACTTTCCACAGCAGCACGATATCAGGAGATGCAGACAGAGCTGAAGATCAGAGATGAAACCAGCAAAAACTGAAGTTATAATGTATAGTTAAATATTATATAAATAATAATATTCATAAGTGTATGATGATGGATGAGAAAGAGAAGACAGTTCCATATCATTACATTTTGGCAAATAGTTATGACAAAACATGTCAAACTAAACTATTGAATTAATCTGACCTATCATAACTATTGATTAATGAGCCGGAGGATATTGGCGGCATTTCATTCAAAAGACTCCATATAAAATAAGAGAGCCATATAAGTTCTTCTATACTTTGCTCTCTGCCACACCCTACTACTTCCTACTACTCCTTTCTACCTCTGGCACTTTTCATTTTTGGTTGTTTCATTGAAAAATTTTAAAATACCTATACCAGACATGATGACTGGCTATTTGTTCTCTGATCATAACAGTCAGCATATTCTGTTACCATTATGACCATGCCCATCATAATCTCAGACAACTGTTATCTGCTTGCTACACCTTCTTGGGGAACAAGCTGTCTGGGGAAATGGAGCCATAGAAATGAAATTTCTTTGGGTTTGGTGCTTTTGTCAACCTGCTGTTCCTCCACTTTCAATGTTATCAAGAAAGCTTCCGTGTGATAGTGCTCATCATAGAAAATCATAACGAAAATGTGAATCTACGATAACGATAAGTATATATCTCGGGTTGGTTGTCTCAGCACATGATAAGAATGTAATTCGACCCCTCCTCTTATCGCGTGCCTTATAAGGAGTAGTTATTTCGTTCAGCTTTGACAGAGATTGTCACTAAAACTCAATGAAACGAGACTATTTGCTCATAGAATATATGGAAAATGTTTATATACATATATAAACATATAAATTAGGAAGCGCGAACTGCATTAACTACTCGAATAAGCTCAAATCATAGCTGCATTTCAGCATCTGCTTCTAGACTCTCTCAGAGTATTGTCCTTACCAGTCGTTATCCATCCATTTTCTGAGTAAAATGGAAAGAGCTTTAGAGTCTCTTAACATGTTCTCTTAACTTTTGAAATAGATCAACAGAGGTTGCATTTCGTATGCATCATCTAGTAACCAAGTTCTCGTATATATAACTCTTCACAAGGACTTCCTAAGTTCTTGTGAACGGTGAAATGAATACGAAATTGGTGAAGAAGTAACGACTTATTAAAATGTTTTTTGAAAATTGGTGAAAAACTCTTACCTATTCATTGTTATTTTTCTGTCTATTCATATGCAACTCATCTATGTATTGCTCCGCGGTTGTGTTCAATGTGAAACTAAGAAAAGCTTCAGGATATACTTGCTTACCTCTTATATCCTACTACTCATGCCGGTCATTAACATAGCTAGGACATTATTCATCATTTCCTGTTTCATAAGCTTTTTTCTAATCATAATAGTGATGAAACCCAATCATCGCGAATTTTATCGAAAGGTAAAATCCGTTTATTTGTCACCAGTGAGGCATTGATGACAAGTTATGAAATTATGATCTCATATTCAGACAGAGTGCGCTCACGTTTTCCCTTCATCACTGATTGGCTTCAAACTCATTCTTAGTTCAGTGGAAAGAGAGAAGGATTCGAAATTGTTTATTTGCGGTAGGAATGGCCGCCAGAAGGAAAAGCTTATTATCATTATAGAATATCCAATAAGGATAGCCGTACCTTCTTATCTAGCTTCATCCATACGAATAACTGATTATCCTAGTTTTGAAATAATATTTTATGAAAACAACTCTTTCATCGACTATTTCAAGTTCTATGCAGATGTTACTCGTGTGACTCCAAAGTGAGCTAGTAATCCGTTAGTGAACAAAGCAGTATCTTGAAGATTCGAAACGATTGAAATAACGAAAGACTTGCATGTCCCCGCCAACCCTGCGCAATTTGAAGAGTATTGGAAACGTTCTCGGCTGATTGATTGTCATAATTTACCGATGAATCGAAATAACACATCTCAAAGGCTTCCTATTGAAACTTCCCTCCGCGCTCTTAGTAACTTACGAAATGTGCTAACCCGCTTCAATATGTATCCATATTTGGAAGGTGGAACACTACTTGGTTTTTTTTGTTTTTTTTTTTAATGTTTGATAAAACTTATAAGTTCAGGATGGTACAGAGAATGTTCTGTCATACCGCATACTCTTGACATGGACTTTGTTGTTGATATTAGTCAGTTAAACCCTCAGTTTGAAGAGTTAGTAAGAACGAAAGGTGAGTCATTTGCTTTAACTCGCAAACTTGGAGATGTAAGTTGTTCAATCATACTGAGTCATGTTGACAATGCTTGTTTCAGCCAAAAGATTCTCTTGAATACACAGTAGTACCTTCAAAAGGTTTCAAGACACCTATTGATATATTCTTTATGTATCAAAACACTGATGAGTATTGGATAGCTGGAACAGACGGGAAAGGAACCAAATATAGATATTCATTTCCCTTGTGAGCTCTGTCACATGTTTACTGTCATAATTTGAATTTGAACTGTTTGTAGTTACGATCCTTATTGTGCTGGCATAATTCACGGTTTTGTGTTCTGGGTTACCTGCTCACCTGATCAAATTTTGACTGTAACCAAATTATAATTGATTGCTTTAATTTGAGTGATTATCATTTACAGATCAGTTATGGAAAGGAGTGGTATAAGGATTATCCATCATCTCGTTTCCGTTGGAACTCATCTTCCAGAAACGTTAGAATCGTTGGGAAGATTAAAAATAGTGATTTAAAAAAATTTTATGAAATAATAAAACAAACTCCATAACATGTATTCATTTTTGGAAGAATTGCTCTTAGTGACTATGCTGAATCTTCATTATCAGTTTGATAGGTAGTATTGCAAGCGATGACTGGGTTTTTATCTATATTTGATACCGCTAATTATCAATAATAAAACCAGTCAACGTAGAGTATATATAATCTGTCATATCGTATGTTAATCGGTTTTTATGTCTAAGTTATGAGCTCATGGTCATACTTGAAGAGATGACATTCCGACCGCAGCAAGTAAGTTCTGAACCAGCAGCAGCAGTCATGATTATGAAATTCTTCTTCAGGGATACTTATTCAACAATCTATTTTCTGGTGGTTTTTCATCTGTCTTACCATCTCATCTGCTTCCACAAAGCGAAGCAACCAACATATATACTAATACATCTGTATCTTCTAGCTCACCCGATTTAACTACGCCAGTTGAGCCAGAGTGTTTAGGCATGCATGTCATATATGTCTATCTGTTTGAAATTAATATACTTTAGATTCAGAAAAATTAGCTCGACGACGAATAGCTAACAGATTAGCACAAAGGAAGAGTCGAGAGCGGAAAGATCAAGTGCGTGAGGTAAGATGCAAGTGTAGATTCTCAAAGCAATATACTTCTACAGCTTTTGATGCTAGAGAACTCGCAATTGCGAGACGAAATTGCCAGCCTCAAAGGTCAACTAAAAATTTTAAAAGAAATGGGCGTTCGAAGCGATTCAGAGTTTATGATGAGAAACGAAGCCAAATTAGAAGCTGCATCAAGAGCTGTATGTATACATATATTCATTTTTTTCATTTTTTTCAAAATTATATTTAAAAACTAGTTTTTTTCTCAGCTTGACGAAGGAAAGGCAAGATTAAAAGAAAAATTCGGATCCATGAAGAATTATTTTACTGAAGAATGCGAACAACTTTCAGAAGTAAGAGAAGAGAAACCTAGATTATATAGAAAATTTCTTCTTTTCAGATTTTTCAAACAACACAACTACAAAGTTGTTCATTGACTGAACCAATGTCCGTGAGCTATCCTTAATTACATTCTACCGAATGTAGTTAAGGATAGCTCGGAAAAAGGAAAAAAGAAGGCATCAAATGAGGATAGTTTGGAAAAAAGAAAACAACGATAACAGAAGTCTGTATTCTTGGGATATTCTTGGGAAAGATTCTCAACAGAACTAAACCCAACCCAGAAGATACCCGTACAGCAAACAAAAAAAACTAAAAACCAAAAAAATTTAGTTAATACCAAGGCTTGAAGTATCTAAGCTCAAAAGCGTGTGTGGATACCTCTGAAGCCTACATTGTACATACTCATTTAATCAAAATAGAAAAAAATAAATCTTTCACATCTTTCAACTTTTCGAAATTACTTCATTTACACAAAATTTTTTATTTCAAAATTCAAGTCTTACTCTTGCCATAATCTCATTTTCACCTCAAAAAGCCATTTGATAACAATCACACTTTCACTTTTTCACACTTTCGAACTTTTTCCTTTTTTTATGGTTAATGTAGTTTGACATAATCAGCATACTTAACCAATCTATTTGAAACATTTGAATTTGCTTTCTTTCAAATGAGTATGTCATAATGAGAATATCTATGAAAGAATGACCTATTTGAAGAACGAATAATTTATACATCAAGTAATAAGTTAAGTCGATAACAAGTAACTTGAAATGCTTGAAACAGACTTGACTTGTTGCCCAAGTCTAATAGAATATATATGTATATATATATTAATAAGTTATTATTATTATTATGATTGTTTGAGTGTTTCATATTTGGTCATAGTTGCTTAACGAGGAGCTCCTTGATATCCTCTTGGTATTCCTGGATAGAAGACAAATGGCTGGGTTGGTACGAATGGCCTCCATTGTCCCATATTTGGTAACTGATTATCATAATATCTATTATTTGACTCAGATTGACTAATATTCATATGTGATGCCCTTCTTGGTGATTCACTTCGTGATGGCTGTCTCTGTAAACAGTGTAAGTTTACACAATTTTTTTGTAAAGAACTCACTGGACTGGGCGGAGCTTCATAAATTGAGTCATTTCTTGAGCTCACTGAGTAATCTTTTCTACGCCTTCTGCCCATCTTTGATGAAGGTGGAGCTTCTCCAATTGATGACTGAAACATTGGATATGTTAAAGAGTCAATAGAAAACTGAATACTTCACTATTACGTCGAGACCGACGAGACCTGTGACTCTTCTTCGACTCGCCATATACGCTACTAGGAGGGCCTAAAGAACTATGATTCAGAAGCAGTACAAACAAGCTGTATACCAATAGCTAAGTAATTCGGGGGAGAAGGATGTATTCCAGCTGTCACTGAGTAAGCATAGGATGTTTGATAAATGCTGAAAAGAGTATTAAGCTGAAGAGGAAAGCTCGATCTACCAACCCATCATTTGGATGTACTACTCTTCCTGTTGTGGGAATATAATAGATGGAATTATCGTCATCGATATCACAACAGCATTCGTAGCAGGAGAAGGAGAAGCAAGATAACGATGAATGCTCTGATAAGAATATCATCAAGCTATAAAGTACAAAAGGTTGACTAAAGTGTAATTTGGTGATCACTTTGGTAAGAAGAATAAATAATGGAAGATGCAAGCTCCAGAATTGATGAGAAGCACTTTCCAGATATGAATGATGATAGGTGAGCCTATCAAGAACAACGGTAAGTAACTGATGATTGGTACTGCACATGCAAACAAGACAGGATAGAAAGTTGCCTGAACCATAACGAAATCTTCGTTTATCTCATATTTTTTTAGCAGATTACCTGGAAGGTATATTGCATGCGAGTCATCGCTCTCTGTTGTCCCTTCCCGGATGCTGAATAAGAAAAGCAGAAGGATATTACGATTGCGCACGTTAGGGCGTTTCCTGTAATATTCGGTGATTACAGATGACTCCCAAATTCAAACCTGCTAGAATCATAGTAAAAGTGATGATATTAAGAGGGACACTCCAAAGTACAGCGTATCCAACTGACTCCATAACAACTATAACAAATCATGTTTTTTTTGTTTTTTGGGTTAGAAGCTCTTACCAGCAGCAGAAGTAAATAGAAGTAAGAAAGTTAGAGCTGGTTGACCAAAACACAATAACGAAAAGAGGAACAGGCAAACCATCAGAATTCCCAAAGCAACTAGAACTGTGCTCACGGTCTACAGATGTTCATGAAAAAAAGGATTTGAAGGAATATTATCAGGGATATATACCTGCATATCATGCAGAAGCGACAAAGTGAATGGTGCTTTCACAGAAACAGGTAGATGAGCTCTAGACGCCTTCTCTAGAATTTGTTCCACCATAACTCTCCTGAGAACGACATCGTATTACTTTAGGGATAAGAACACAGCAAACCTGTCGTTGACTCCTTTAGCTGTTAATTCCAAGTACATACGAGACCGGACTATCTGAGTTTGAAAACGATCGAGAGTGATATCCGATGAAAATCTCTTGTAGCTATCAGTTGTTAAGAATACCAAATTGACAACAGGGACAAACGTATCCTGCAATATGAACTTCAGAAACACAAAGACCTTCATTATCTTACTGTGTTGACATCATAGATACTGTCTTTCTCAAACTTCTTGAACTCGTTGAGCCAACTAATGGCTCTGGCAGCGAAACCGTTTGACTGCAAGGAGATTGTACTGTGATTACTATACGTGAATACTTCTTACCACTGCCCAATCTAATAAATCTGATATCTGTTTTTGAATTAAATCATCGTGATAGTCAATGGGCTGGTCAATAATGACCTAAACGAGCATTATTGATAAAATTTCTTCAAAAATTAGTAACCTCAAGATATTCCTTAGTCTTTCCGTACATTTCTTTGTAATCTTTCAAGAATATACTTGGAGATGATTCCGCTGGTAGGAAATACTCTTCACGAAGATCAACACTGCATATTGAGAAGTAAAATATGATATGGACAACGGATATGTCTTACCGAACGTTGGAGCATCCCCATGCGGCAATCAGAAGGTAAACGGTACATATGAATACTAATGGGTAGCGAATCTTAGAAATGATAAGCTGTGAAGCGAGTACACGACTCAATGATGGTCGATTATCCAATAAACGGTCATGTAACGAAAACAACGATGATGTATCGTAATCCGACAAATTTGGAGCTGAAACGAAGACGGTTCATAGAATCATGCGGAAAAGCCTGGTTTTCCTCAAAAAATCAGCAAACAATCAACTATTGTCATAAACATGAGGAATTTGATGTTCATTAGATGAGAATGATATTAAAGGAGATAAAGATAAACCTGTGAAGTGCGTATCGCCCGTTTTGAAACATTGGAACCATTTGACTCCTTTGGCTTCACGTCGTCCACCCATATATAGGAAAACAGCCAAAAACCTTAGAAGGATTAATTATATATTTATTGTGAAAAACGAAAAAGAGGTGCTTAGAGACAAATAAAAAATGTATGAAAATCAAAAGAGTCTTTACGAGAGACAAAAAAAAATATTTTTTAGCCTTTGCTCGGAGACAATGCAAGAATACGAGAGTAGGAGAAGGAGGAATGACTTACATGAACAACATGAAGAGTAAGGCTGCCACAGCTGATGATAGTGTGACGAAAGTTGATTGCATGTGTATGCTTTTCACAAAAATTCCAACAATACCTTAAATGGAATAGGGAATAAGAAAGGATATCATTTTGAATGTTAGGTTAAGGAGAGAGGGAGGGAGAGTACATCAAAGACCTTCAACGCACAAATCACTTGCTAGGCTGCTTGTGAAGCAAATAAATAAAATGCAGTTGAAGACAATGAATGTATATATAATTATATCGTATAACTAACCGAAGCTAAGTGATATGATGGTTATGGCAGAAGCTATTCCTGGACCATCATATGATAGAATGAAGGCAATCTTCTCAGTTGGATGTAAGCTGGCAAACGAGAATCGTGACCAAGATAGATGAAGATGGAACGAATACAAAAGTCCAATGGCTAAAATAATTATTCTTAAAATTATTTCAACAAAATGATTAAAAAAGAAATAAATCTGATGAAACTAGCATCAAGGTATTCGAGATTTGACGTCATCGGACGAATATGGAAAAGCTTTCTAAGGCTTCATATCTCTCATCTCATTATTCAAATATCAAAACTTTCTCGTTTTCAAAATTGTTTTAAACGTATATCTGAGATGAAATGAATTGAAAAAAAAACGAAAGTTTGGATGTTCAAATAAGGAAATGGCTAACAACAAGGATAACAAGGATGATGATCCTTCCTCCATTGTCATTCTCTATTCAAGCCTCAACCATACATGAATACCGGTATTTACTTTTGATAAATGTTTTTTTCTCTTTACAGTCAGTTAGTTATATGTAGTTGGTGAGTAGAATGAAGAGGAGAAGAACAAAACTGACCAACAACAACGAAAAAGACCGGCCATAGCATTGGATTATAAATGAATGAAAAAGCTGATTGAACAAATAATCCGAAAGCACATGTTGCCAATATGAGGAATCCAATTTGGAAACCGACCAACGGTTTACTCTTAAATTCATATTATTTCTGTAAGGTATGCATTCTATAGACGTTAATACCTGATAGGCGTTTGATGTGAAACTCGCAATGAAACAGAAGAGAGCAACAACGACAGCAGACAGAAGTAAAACTTGATGTGTTGAGGTCAAAGAATCTATGATCGACGCATGGAATGATGATGGCGACCATGGGAAGAAGCTTATATTTCCAGCTGATGTATGATTGATCTATGAAATTCTAATTGTTAGCTTCATCTTAATATCTTCCTACTTGATCAATGAAGTTCTTCGTCCACATCTCCTTTTGATTGCCATCCAAATCATCACGGATTTGGAAAGTCATAAGGAATGACTGCGCACGTGATATAGCTCCATCTGTGTCTGTCTCCACGCCTTAAGTTTACAATAACATTTGCATATTCGCTTCAAATTGAAGAGTACCTCCGATAGCTGAACCAAGGTAAACTCGGCTCAAATTGCTTGAATCTTTGCTCATGCTCACAAAGGTTTCCGGATATGTCAGTGCAACTTGAGGACTCTTCTTGATGATTCTATCAACCATCTCTTTCTCTAGTTCACAAGTAGCTGAGCAGCTTTCCAAGAAATCACGTCTAGCATTTGGAAAATCATCAATTTTTCGTTTTAGCACAGTGTAAGCCAAGACAGCATCCCGTCGCAGAATGGAATCCTTGTTGTTTCTATAACACATAGATCCAATTCCAAAAATGATATTTTAATCAAATACATTGTTTTCATCAAAACAGCATAACTATTTTGATCGAGACAGTTCAAAGCAGTGAATGCTGGATTGCTGCTCAAGAAGGAAGCGGAAGCAGATCGTGAAACTCCATAACCGTTACTAATGACGTCACTTTTGCCGAATAAATGGCTAAATGGCAATGAGATGAAGAGTTTATCCCTGTTAACTACAGGGCCAACTACAGATAAAGCTAGTAAGATGAGAGGAATGACCTGTAACACATGAATTCATAAGCTTTGAACTCTTTCTGAAGTCTTACCGAAAATAGAAATGTATGATTAGCTACTAATTTTCCTAAATACCATAACATACGACGAAGACCTGATTCAATGAAAGATAATGAACGGATTCTGTATACTGCCTGAGTGAACACTGAAAATTTTAATTTTTATCTTCAATCCTTTTTCATTCGATTGCAAGACTGCATCGTGAGTGGTCGTGCATGGTGAATCCTCAAATCTCACATTTCATTCTGACGTCATAGCGTCACAACGAACGGTTGTATTAACATAGATGACGACACCAAAATCATTTTATGTATTCATGAATGTGATAAGCGGTCGTGTGAGAGGCATATAAAACTTTCGAACGTATATATTTCCTGAGGGTATGATGTTCACATCAATGGGTGCATGTATAAGCTTTCATCTCTGAAACGTACCACCACCACTGTAGACGACTGTTGGATGTGTTTGTTGCAGTAAATCCATTTTTTGAGCATATTGAGCGAGTTGCATATCATTTGTTATCCTTCTAACAAGAGATCTCTGTTTTTCTATTTTCTGTTCTCTACGTTCAATGGTTGAGGTGTTAGAGGCTGGCTCCTGCAAAAGGAATTAGAAAGTTATGGGAGAAGAAGTGATTCTCATTACTTCCACATAGCTCGTCCTTTCAGACTTAGTTGAGTTAGCTTTTGATTCTGATTTAAAAAATCGTGATTCTGATTGAATTTCACGGCTTGATGTAGTTCCATTGGAAATCTCATCAGCTGGTGGAGGATTATTGGGCACTGTAGGTGGAGCACCAAGCTGTAAGTAAGTTTTCATTGATAAAAGATACTCGTTAGTGTCATTGACAACATGTGAATGAACTTCCATTTTCTTTGTAATTAGCTAATTGCCTGAAGGACGAATGATAATCTCATTACTAAAACTGATTGAACAAGAGGATTCGTCTTGTTACAATAGTTCTTTATAACTATACTATTCATTATATTCCAGACAAATACTCGAAACGAATGAATATTTGTGATGTTGATAAGATGATGACTGTGAGATAAATGATAAGTGAGAGAAAATGAGATGGAAAAGAACACATGAAAACGTGATCTTGACCTATAAATATGTTAAGAACAGAGAGAGAGAGAGGAAGAGGGAGAGAGAGAGATAGAGGTAGAGAGAGAAAAAGAGTAATAGACTGAGGAGATGAGAAGAGAATGGCTTTACTTAAAATAAGGCCAACTTAACGACTGTTAAACCTGGGAAAACTTATCATCAGGAACGAGGTATGATAATCACACAATTTCATTTCAACTCTTTGAAAAGTTGAAATAGTTTAAGAAATGGTTTATTGGAAGGAAATGGAAGAAAGAAAGAAAAAAAGAAATTTGAATGTTAAACTAACAGATTGTGTATCCTCGTCCAGAGTAAATCGTCTTTCAATGCGAATACCAGGCGGTCCTCGGTTTTCGGCATTCGGCCCATGTAAGCCTTTCTTATAAACCATATTACCCAAACCTATAAATGGAATTAGCTGTACGGGTATGAATGGTCAATGAGTACGGATGAAGATGGAAGATGATTATGATGGAAGATGATCAGTAATCAGTAATATTAAAAATGAAAATGAGTAATTGCGGTCAAAAGATATGAAATGAAATAAAGATGAAATGTACTATTTGAACTATCAGGAAGTTGTAATAAATAATACAAGAGAGAGATTCGGGACCTCAATCGATCTCTTCATAAAAGGTCAGGTGAGAGAAATAGAGAGATTCTTAGGTTAAACGACTTCTACCACAGCGATGACGACGTCAATAGCGATACAGATGTAGTTGACGACTACCATAATTAACTAAGAGAAGTTGAGATGTGAACAGATTAGAGATAAAGTGTAAAATGGAGAAACAGAGATATATGGATATATGAGAGAACAGAAAGTTGTTGAGATGAATTCGGCTGATTATATCATTTGATAAGCTAAATAAGATCAAAATATAATTTTCAAAGAATTTCGAATATGTTTTGATGCTTTCATACATATTTCCCATATACAAGCAGTTAGAAGTCATACATGGAAGTGAAAAAAAAACAAAAATGAACGCCGCCATGTAAGTGATGGTGTGCACTTGATGACCTTACGGGCTTCAATGAATGGACTGCATGATAATCAATTGTAAGTAAATTACATTTGAAATGTGAATTCTGATGAGAATACAGAAGTTACTGGAAAAAAAAATCATTAAGAAAGTGCATGAGAGAGTATAGAACGCCAGGTCTCAATTTCCGACGATGTTGCAAACGATGACCAACACGATGTGAAGGTGAAGACGTCGTGTGTGTAGTGTGAAACGATAAGAACTTCTAAGGAATTCAAGGAAGGGAAAAACAATATTTATCACTTGTGTCCTAATATAGTTAGATGAAATAATTAAATAAAAGAAAAAGAGGAGGAGTTTTGTGATAACGAACGAACGAACGGATGACATGTATCCGTTCATCTGGCACTCCCATCATTCCATTGATATTGTTATTGAGAAGAAGAAGATGAAGAAGGAGAAGAAGATGAACAAGAAGAAGATGAAGAAGATGAAACACCTTAGGAGATATCATTAAACAATAGTAATATTAATAAAAAACAATAATAATTCATGTATACACGTCCATCTACACATAATTAGAATAGTTAACGTTAGCACATCAATACTATCCCAATATCCTGACTAATATGATTGGATTCCATAATCCAACCCTCATCACGTTCTATCAGTACGTTAAGAGACTGTTGAACTGTTCGAATTATTTCCATCAAACTGTGCGGTTCATCATGATAGGCAAGAGGTGCTCTAATCACAGCAGGATTGGTTACTGTATCTCTAAGAATCGTATCTCACATAGCTATGTGTACTTCATAGTTCTTTCAAATATTTGTTTATTCGTTGAAATTCAGTTTGTTTTATTTTGTTGAATGTATCACATTCATTATTGTAGTTCTGTTGTTGACGCATTTCCTTCGTTCATACATAGTTCAAAGCCTTAATCACATGTGATTTGAGCTCAGACTCTTTGTCTTAAAGCGGCTAAGATACCTCAGATCAACTGCTTGTTCGCTTCTATTCCGACTCTTTATACATCAGTATGCCCTCTATGCTCGGTTTCAAAGACGCTTTGATGAATCTCTTTTTAATTTGGAGGTGAAAACGGACCCTTCGTTACGGCAGATTAGTATGACCACCTGCTTGGTTGCCTGTTTCATCTGGTGTAGTAAGTATTGATCAGAATAATCTTGTTGCTCATGCAAACGACTTCATTGAAACTAATTCACCTTTCTTTCTTTTTTATCTTTTTCGACTATAGAAGTGGTAGTGTCAACCACACATTCCCTTCACAAGCTCACCTATGATTCAAAGATGTCCGGAGGAGTATGAACCACCACCTAGTTGGCTGCCTTATATATCAAATTCGCTTCTCTTCCTTACTATTCCGTCGAGCATTTACATTTTCTATTTGATCATAGCTGTAACTCCACCTCATACAGATCAATGGTACAAGATATACCTCTTCCTTTATCATTCACTAACGACGATTTACTCCATGCTCAATGCACTTCTAGTTGGTTTACTATTTCACAATACAGATATTCATTGCGTCCAGAGTCTAACACAGTATATACCGACAATCGTTATAGTCGAGTTGGGATTATTAGGAGGAAAGTCATCTATTTTTTTTTCTCTCAACTTATCCATCCAACCCATAGTCGTATCCACAGGCTTCATCGTACTCGTTCATCGCTTCTCTATCATCTTATACGGAGATAGAAAGAAGAAGCTATTCCAAACAATGTTTCTCATGTTCTGCTTAATAATATTTATACTTACTACATTCACTACTCTTATTATTCCTGTAAGGTATGATTACAAAACAACTAACACAATACTTCTTCAAGTAAGTCTCATCTCAACCATTTCCAACTCAATTTTCTAGGACTGTCCTCACTTTAAACCATTGACAACTTCCTACAATGTAATATATTTCAATGATCCAGTGCTACTGAAAATTCTCCGTGGATCAATAATATTCTTTCCTTCCGTCATAGCACTCAGTTTTTTTCCCTTATTATTCTTTTTTGTCAAAAAGTTTCAAGAAAAATCAAAGTTTTTCTCCGAAACTACCAGAAAGTTACAATCTCGCTTGCTTATCAATCTATCTTGGACAATTGCGTAAATGATATTCAAATATCATACATACTCTGATACATTCAGGATACCTTTTATTGCACACGGCATACCTGCTGTTGCGATAGTTATTGTCGTATTCACAGACTTGCGCGGCGGCTTATGTATGTTGAAGCTCATAGAGAATAGATAATCAACCTTTAATAGGGGTTGGTACAATAATTTGGCTACTAGGC